GCTGGTCTCAAACTCCTGACCTCAGGCGATCCGCCCTCCTCGGCCTTCCAAAGTGCTGGGGTTACAGGTGTGAGCCACCATGCCCAGCAGAAAATCAGTAGTTCTTATTGAATTGTATATATTTTCCTGGAAGCTCATATGTGAAAGGTTGCTAGTGAATGTGCATATGTCTAGCAGTCTAGGCTGGAAGGAGGATGGGAAGGTTGATAATGTGAAAGATATTGAATAAACCTGAACTGCGTGGTTGGTATGTCTACTTAAATAAATATAGTATCTGATCTAGCATGGAAACTGGGAGCTAATTATATTCCTGGATGATGTCCTTAGCTGCTATAATCTACTCTAAGAGGTTTGTCCTCTGCATATAGGAAAACCACCAGGAACTTGAAGCAATGGAAATAATAATCTCTTACATTTGAATAACACTTTATAGTTTCAATATATATTCACATCCATTATACCATTTGAGTCTCAATTCAATTGAGTGAAGTAAACAGGGCAGATATTTTTTCTGGTGAAGGAAAAATATCAAAACTGAAAAATGTCAGTGACAATTTAGCATCAAAATTGGGATTATAACCTTTGTTTTTTGACTCCTAATTCAACATTCTTTCCACTGTACCACTTTAACTGTAGCTTGAATGGTTTTGGCCTAAATGGAATATATTTGAAAACGTAAATAGAAGTTATGTTATATAACATCCCAGCTGCTGGATCTGGTTTAGCAGAAGCTTGAAGAACAGCAGAAGAGATTGGGAGGTAACCAAGTGTGTAAAATGAGTTCCGCATTTTCCGATGTTCAATAAAAGCAACAGAGAGTGCTCAGACCATCCTTTGGGACAATAACGATTCTTCAACCCTTAGTCTTTCATGGCTTTGCATTATTCCTTATCAACTCCCATGACAAATTCTAGCCTTTTCAACATTGTGACCCTACATTTTTAACCTGTTCCTCCAACTTAACCGGTTCTTCCAACTTATCTCCCAGCCTCCTGCGTCTTGTCATACATGGTGAAAATCCGTCCCTTCTACTGTCTGACTCATTCTCTTCTCCCAGTTCATATTAATCTTGTTTGTCCTGAGACATTTGCCTCTATCTGTTCTTCTACTAACCTTTTTGGTTTTTCTGCATGGAATCTCAATTAATTGGAAGCAATCTCTGCTATGTAAATCAAATAATATGGCAGAAGATACTCTGCAAAAATAGCTGGCAAAGATTTATTATTATTCTGCATTTTCTGGGGGATATTTTTTACTTACCAACCTTACTGAAACCTGGGTATTCTTTACCCTGATGATGTCGCTTCCCTCTAAACTTGTTCCAGTTTGTCCATAATGTAGTCTTAACCTGGTTGTGTGTGTGTACATGGGATGGGACTTTCTTTTTAAAAACTTTATTTGGATACAAGTTCTCACTATATTGCCCAGGCTGGTCTCAAACTCCTGAGCTCAAGAAATCCTGCCTCGGCCCTGCAAAGTGCTGGGATTACAGATGTAAGCCACTGTGCCCAGCCCAAGGAGGTGGGGCTTTCAATAGTGAGGAAACATTCTTCCCATTTCCCAGCTCACAGGAGCCAACAAACTTCCGGTTCCTCACATGTTTTTCCACAGCAGGGAAAGGGAGGCAAGCAAAAGATTGAAGATGAAAGCAAGAGGGAAAACAATGTATAAAGAAGTTCCCAGAGGGGATAGAGAAAATGGCCTGAGGTCATGGGAAGAGGTGTTGACCTTAGGGAGGTAATAAATGATTTCATTTTGTCTGTAGATGATGGGAGGGAAAGACTGGAAGACATTCTGAGATAGAGAAGTTTGCAGGGAGAACATCCACCTTTTCATTAAAGCAAGAGAATGGAAGTTATTTGCTGAGGTAGGTGGCTGGGGTTGGGTGTCTGGTAAGAGTAGAGATGAACCGAAGTAGTTGCTTTGGTAAATATGGTCAGGGACCAGTAAATAAGGCTGTGGAATGGCAAAACAGCAATGAGAATAAGCTATACCACCTCTGCCACCCACAAAGGACAAAAATACAGTTTATTTCTCCTTTAGAAGCAAAGCAAGTAGTTAGACTAAGAAGAATCAATACAAGGAAAGGCCAATATGAAGAAGATCCATTTGGGGATGAGGCTACCTCTTCCAATATAGAACCAATTTGTCTATTTTTTCCATCCTCACTACCAACTGCCCTACTTCAGGCTCTTATTGGATGAATACTGCAACTGCTTCCTACCAGGCACCCAGGCTTCCAGCCTTTCTTCCCTCAGATTCATCCTTCATTTCACTTATCACTCTATGGTATTTGTGTTTAATTAACTGTCTCACCCATTAGCCTATGAGCAACTTGAAGGCAGTCTTCCAGTCTTCTCTGTGCCCCTGGGGTCTAGCGCAGAATCTGGAGTGTAGTAGACACTCAGTAACGGTTCTTTGAATGAAAACTACTGGAGCGATATTTCTAAAACATAAACCTGATCATGCCACTTGCCTGCTTTAACATTTGAAATGATCCTTAGCATGATACTCCAGCGCCCACATGGGCTGATCCCATGTGTTTCCATAGCTTCATCTCCTGCCACCTTCTCCCCTTTCCCACCCATATCCCTGTCTTAAGTTAATCATACTTAACTAGGACTTGAAGTTCCTTAGCAAGCTGTGTGCTCTAACCTTTGTGCTTTTACACATGCTTTCTCCCTACCTGAAATACCCTAGCAAAGTCCTGCGCAGTGATACCAGGGCTAACCTTGAACATCCTTCTGCCAGTTATCAAGGTGAAACTAAAGTTAAAGCTTGTGGCCTGACCTACTTTTATTGTTCTTTTCCCTCCTCCAAGAAATAGTTGAGCCTAGCCTACGTGCTTGTTGGCATGTGGTGAGCTGGTGCCGAGGGTGAGCAGTGAGTCAGGTTCCCGTGTGTTTGGTATATGTCTGTCACAGTTGTTCTGTGTATGCCATCCCAAACTGTTTCTCAGAATATTCCGTCTGGTCTTTCTTCTAGCCAGCTCCCCTCTCCAACTCATTCCAAGTCTGTTATAAAGGACTCTGAGAGCCCTGGTTCTGGATCATATTGACAAACCCTGTAAACTTCCAGGGCTAAGATGGAGGCCAAGACACAGGGTCAGGGCTGGGCTAGGCTAGGTAGCTAAGAAACAGGCTGCCATGGTGGCTTACACCTGTAATCCCAGCACTTTGGGAGGCCGAGGTGGGCAGATCACAAGGTTAGGAGATCGAGACCATCCTGACCAACATGGTGAAACCCCGTCTCTACTAAAAATACAAAAATTAGCTGGGTGTGGTGGCACGTGCCTAGAATCCCAGCTACTTGAGAGGCTGAGGCACAAGAATCACTTGAACCCAGGAGGCGGAGCTTGCAGTGAACTGAGATCGCACCACTGCACTTCAGCCTGGTGACAGAGCAAGACTCCGTATCAAAAAAAAAAAAAAAAAAAAAGGCAGAGAAATGTTCTGTTGCAGATGCAGATGTATAAGTTGAGAAGCCGGATGTGTTTCCAAAAGCCCCTTCAGAAATCAAAGGCCTTTTCTGCACCTGCATAGGTGCCTGCCTTCTGTTGTTTGGACCAGATAGAAAGGGCTACTTATACAGCTCCAAAAGCTTGATGACGGGGGCAACTGGTTCGTATGTTGCTTATTTTAAAGAGGAGATCAGGCCATATTTCTAGCCTTTTAATGAAGGTAGCAACTTAAGTTTTTAAAATTTAACTTCAAAAGAAAACATACACACATATACATACTATTTTCTAGCTGAAGGTTTTCAATAATAGTAATGATCATGATGATGACCACGGTCATTAATGATGTATTATATGTATCAAAATTGCTAAAAGAATAGATTTGTAATGTTCTCACTACAAAAAAATGATAAGTTCGTGGGATGATTAATATGTTAATTAGCTGAACTGAATTTTTCTACATCATATACATAGATCAAAACATCACACTGGAGCCCATAAATATATACAATTATTTGTCAATTAAAAGTAAATGATAAAAATATTTCTTAAAAGATCACATAATAATTCTAAAATGCAACTCTAAAAAAAACAATAATTCTGGGTCCTTTAGACACTTTGTAAACACTAGTCCTAGATCCTATGTAAATACTAGTCCTAGGAAGTATTTTCTAAGTTCCAGTGCCATCAGAGCTTATAAAGTTTTTAGAGGCAAATCAGTGAGTTAGGCAACCCACTCCCAACCAATCTTTCTTTCTCTCTCATATACACCCTGTTCCCAGAGATGGAGGGAGGAAAGAAGAAAGCTGCTTTTATCCTTTGCCGTGGCCTGGGGCTGCTGGGGCTTTAAGTCAGTATGTTTGCGTAGGAGGATGAGGATGGGGGCTTTCTGACTGCTATTCATCCACCTATTCGTTCAATTTATTCATTTAACATATATTTATTAAGTAACCTACTGTGTACTGGGCACTCGGTAAAGGGATGTAATCTTCTCTATCCTGCTAGTGGCTTCTTCCAGGTCTCTCAGGGTGTTTGGAGCTCATAACCTCTTCTCTTTAACAAGGGTGACGGTTAAAACAGTAAGGGCTGGTATGGACAAAAGCAGGGAAGTGCCTGGGGTAGACACTGAGGGGAGTCATGGAGGAGCTGTATTTTCCCAAATTATTCAAGATCCATTTTATTTCCCCCATTTGTTGAGGCTTTTTCTACATGTAAGCTCTAAGAGGGGGTAAAGATGAGACTTATGGGTGGCTGGCAGAGTGTCCTGAGCCCAAGACTGTACCTTGAGTATCAGTGATGATTCTAGAGCACAGTGTTTCAACCCTCAACACAGAAACAGAATCCTGGACTGGCTACTGAGGGGCCCCTGCCAGCTGCTGGCTCTGAAGTTGGTTTTGTCTGTGGGCTAGATCAGTGTAAGTTGGGGTCGAGGCTGCTCGCTCAGCTAAGCAGCTTGATTGATCTCCAGCGCTCTTTTGTCTCCTCCTCCCTAGTGGAAGCCTCTCCCCCTTTTCTCCTCTCCCCCTCTCCCCCTCTTCCCCTCTCCCCGTCTCCCCCTTTCCTCCTTTCCCCCTCTTCCCATCTCCCCTTCTCTCTCTCAGGCTCTTCTGCTTTCCTCCTCTGCTTTTAATGAATCTCCAAGAGCCACCACATCTCTGGTAGTTTTACAAAACTGTCCTTGCTCTTCCTGCATTTGCCCAGTCAAGGGTATTTTTGCCTGAGGTCGGAATGATGCTGTTAGTCCTGGTGATATGATTGCATAGCAACACAGAGCAGCTCTGAGAGGGGAGGAGGAGGAGAAGGAGAAGGAAGACAGGGAGGTGGGAGAGACAGAGGGAGAGTGTGCATACAGCAGCTGTCGGCATCCCTGTCTCAGGGACTTCTTTGCTGATTCACAGAGGCAGCCCAGCCCCGGCTGCCTTACAGCTGCCGCCTGCTTCTTAGACCGGACGGAATCAGAAGGTAGGCCACAGAAAAATTATTTCCAAGCCTTGTCCTTGTTCAGCTGGCTGAGGGGAAATGACTGAGGAAGGGGAAGCTCCAGAGGTACTGTGTGGCGCGTTGGGGCGGAGTGGGGGGCGGGAGGATGAGTATGAGAGTGAGTGTGTGTGTGTGTGTGTGTGTGTGTGTGTGTGTGCACGCGTGCCTGCCTGCCTGTCTGGAAAACTTGCATTAAAAAATGCCCTCAATAAAGTAGTCACCATTTAGATTCATAAAGAAAAAAAAAGATGCCCAAGAATAGAAACTCAAGCCAATTTGAGCAACTAAGGTCTAAAAATGAATAAGAAGGAGGTACACAGTTTGCTTCTTTGAGAAGAGAGGGGCATTTGTTTATTTATTTTAGGTTCTCAATGGCATGCTTTTTGTCCGAGAGTATATATCTTGGCAGGAGGGAAGGAAAGGTGTGTGGAAAGCATTCGCTAACAAGGGAGGAGGGAGGAAACATGGGACCTTGGAGCAGGTTCCCTGAACAAATGAGTATTATGGCCAGCAGACAGGACACAGGAGTTCTTCCCTGAAGTAAACCAGGCTCTGACCTAAGAGCCTGGAACTGAAGGTCTCCTCTCATCTCTGTGTTTACTTCCTGGCTCTATTGTTTTTCTGTTACATTTTTTCCCTCTTGTTTTCTTCCCTGGTTTCCTTTCTACACCCTGTAATCAGGAGGCGTCTTTCCACTCTTGAAAGCATAGCTTGGAGTGGTTTCAAATAGGGGTTGTTTCTCTTGGAGTCTAACACCCCATCACCTTCTGCTCTCACTGCCTTTCCCAGCATCAGGCCAAGTGCCCCAGCCTAGTAAGTGGGCCTCAGACTGTAATGGGTAGGTAAGATTTATCCCTCCTTTAGTAGTCAGGTCGAGCCGGGCCTCACTGGTGTTGGGTGTAAGCAGGTGGCAAGGCTGGGGTGGGGTGGAGTGGGGTAGAAGAGGACGTCAGCAGCAGCTGCTGCCTGCTTCCATTGAAAGCATGGTGCATGCTGTCTGGAAAAGAATATACTTTTAAAAAATGTTTTCTTTTTGATTGTCAAAAGAACAAAAGCCTTAAAAAAGCTATGTCTAGTTCATCTTAACTCCTGACTTTTCCAAAGGAATCCTTGTTTCTAGATGAAAAGCCCTCAGGTAAATCACCTTTTAAAAGGCTGGTGGGAACCACAAACCTCAGGAGATTTTCTTTCTAAGGTTTGCGTGGGGACATGATCCCAGAGAATCTCAGGGCCTTGTAAGGAAACCTCCGTGAAAAGGCAGCGTTGAAGTGGCAGTATTATGTCTTGTCTCTGAAAGAAGACCAAGCCCCTGTGTCTCTGGGTGGGCAGGCCTCTGCCCTATAGTCTTGCTTTCTGTAAACCGCTGCTAGGGGATGAAGGCACATGGAAAAAGGTCCTCTTCCTGTGAGATTTGTACTTCTAGGCATTCAGCATTAGCTAAGGAGCTCTGTGCTCCAGGACGAATTACCCTTCAACTCCGCCAGAAAGGAGGGGAGCATAGCTTGAAGCAGTGAATTTAGCAAAAGCCCCGAGCCAGATGCAGAGAGCACATCTGGAATTCAGCCCTTCTAACTACAGATGCTCACAAGTTTCTGATGTTGGATCTGCCACCATGCCAACTAGGATGGGGTCTCACTAATGAAGGCTGAGAAGATAACCTTCTAAACTTCTCAGGGATACACACTCAGAGGAAACCCATTAAGTGGAAATTATACTATGAAATGACATTACTCCCTTACGAAAGATTCTAAACATGCATCAGCAACAAAAATAGCAAGTGAGATAAATCCTTCTAGGATAGCATTTACCAAACCAATGTTCTATAGTGCACCATCCTGGGAGAATGTTAATAGATTCTGTTTTAAAATAAGTGGTGTGTGTGTGTGTGTGTGTGTGTGTGTGTGTGTGTGTGCATGTATTCTGTGGTTCAGTACTTTTTTGGAAATGCTTCTTAACCGAATTCTCATTTTGGAGAGTCACAGTGTATATAATGCATATTAAAGACTGAGAAGCACTGCTGTAAATGAATCTGTTTAATTTTGTTTAACCCAGTACATCCCAGACTGGTTTGACCAGGGAACACTTTTCTGTACGGAAAACACTTTTGCCTCTTACATTTTGGGGAATTGCTGCTCCAAAAAAAGAAGAAGAGAAAAAAAAAAAACCTAGAAAAAATCGTCACATGGATAACACTTGTAAAATAGTCTAGTTTGACAATGCATTTCTTTTTTTTTTTTTTTTGGAGACGGAGTTTTTTTGCTCTTGTTACCCAGGCTGGAGTGCAATGGCACAATCTCGGCTCACCGCAACCTCCGCCTCCTGGGTTCAAGCAATTCTCCTGCCTCAGCCTCCTGAGTAGCTGGGACTACAGGCACGCGCCACCATGCCCAGCTAATTTTTTGTAGTTTTAGTAGAGACGGGGTTTCACCATATTGACCAGGATGGTCTCGATCTCTTGACCTCGTGATCCACCCGCCTCGGCCTCCCAAGGTGCTGGGATTACAGGCTTGAGCCACCGCGCCCGGCGACAATGCATTTCTAAACATGAAAAACCCAAGCAGTTGATCATATTGTTTTCCTTCCCATAGATGAGAATCTGGGATTATCTCCTGATTCCCCAGCCCACTGTACCCAACTGCTGCTTCTCTAGCAGGTTCCCTCTTGTGAAACTAGTCCAAGGAAAATGAAGCAGATTTAAGGAATAATCCTTTGATTTTGAGTGCAACATTTACATTTAATACATTTTTTCTAGTATTTTGTTAAATGCAAAAATTGTCAACTTTCTTTTCAGCATGGGCTTTGTTGCATTCTTTTAAACAATGTGTTATAAAATACCTTTGTACATTCAAAAAGGTATAAAAATAAAATGGTGAAAATCAGGCTATTCACTGCCCAGCTTGATAAAGAAGTAGAGTTGAAACCTTCTGTCTATTCTCCATGATTAAAGTTCTCTATTTCCTTTCAAAGTAACCACTATCCTGGAGTTGGTGTTTATTATTCCCAGGTATTGATTTATACTTTTACTACATGTGTACATATTTTTAAACACTGTATACTACTGCTTTATATATTTTAAAAGTTTATATCAGTGGTGTATTATACGTATTCTTCTGCAACTTGATTTTTCTTTTCTTTTCTTATTTTCCCCCCAAGAGACAAGATCTTGCACTGTTTCCCAGGCTGGAGTGAAGTGGTGTGATCATAGCTCACTGCAATCTCGAACTCCTGGGCTTGAGCAATCTTCCAGTGTAACAGCCCCCCAGGTGGCACCACTATGACCAGCTAATTTTTTTTTCCCTTCATAGAGACAGAGTCCTGCTGTGTTGTCCAGGCTGGTCTCAAACTCCTGGCCTCATGTCGTCCTCTAGCCTCAGCCTTCCAAAGTGTTGGCGTTTCAGCCATGAGCCACTGCAATTAGCTTGAAACTTATTTTTTCTTTTCAATGTTATATTTGTGAAATGCATCCATGTTGTAACATGGGGCTCTAGTTTCCTCATTTTTTTCAGTATTGTATGCTCATCTAATGACTGTACCACACTTTATCCATTCTGCTGTTGATGGACAGTTAGGCTATTTCTAGTTTTGAGCAATCACAGAGGTACTGTGATAATTCTTGTGCAGCTATTCTTAGGTGACAATTTCTATTGGGTAAATATCTGGGTAGAATTGTCCCCTTACAGGGTATGTGCATTGTCACCTGTGGGAGATATTGTCAAATCACTATGCAAAATAGTTTACTAACTTATACTCCTACCAGCAATGTATAAAGATTTCAGATTTATTGCATTAATGGGCTCTTACAATTTTCCCCCATGGGGATGCAGCTCTGATTTTTAAATTGGACAATAAATTTTATTTCTCAAAATTGCTTGATAGCTAAACTTCCCAGGAATATATTTCCTTGTTTTCATTTGTAAGTGAGGGGATTGGCCTAGATGATCTCAAAGGTCCTTTCTAACTTGAAAATGAGTTTCTATGATTTATTCATTAAATGAGGTACATCTGAAGCAGAACCTTGGTATTTTGGCTGCATTGCAGGAATTATTTTAGGAACTATAACAAAGTATGTCACCAGTGAAATGCGTTTCTCTTCTCTTACTGCCATACTGTTGGGTAGAAAGGCAGTGGTGTGAGAGGAAAGGCAGTTACACAGTGTTACTTGGATTAGGGAGAGGAATCTGTAGCCCATGGGAAGGGGGTCTCCTTCCCACTGCCCTGTTCTTTACAGAACCTCTTCATCTTAGAAGTCTTCCCTATCTCTTGAATTTTTTCTCCCAAGAATAATAAATGTTTGCTATTTTTTTTTAAAGTAGTCCGGGTGCAGTGGCTCATGCCTATAATCCCAGCACTTTGGGAGGATGAGGAGGGCAGATGACCTGAGGTCAGGAGTTCGAGACCAGCCTGACCAACATGGCAAAACCTCATCTCTACTAAAAATACAAAAATTAGCCGGGCGTGGTGGCACGTGCCTGTAATCTGAACTACTCGGGAGACTGAGGCAAGAGAATTACTTGAACCTGGGAGGGAGAGATTGCAGTGAGCCAAGATCACAGCACTGCACTCCAGCCTGGGCAAGGGAGAGAGACTCTGTCTGGAAAAAAAAAAAAAAAGCAAATAATATAAAGCAAAAAGGAGAATTCCCTTCATGCAACTCTCTAAAAGTAATATCAATGAACAACAGATGTCCAGGCTTCCTTTCTGCACATACACACAGTAAAAAAAATGTTTTTACAAAATTGGAGTTCCACTAAACATGCTATTCTGACATTTGTTTTCTTTGGCCTAAAATATATATCTTTGAAATCTTTCCAAATTAGTGCATATAGATCTATGTCTTTATTTTTAATAGCTACATAATATTCTGCCTTGTGAGTGGCTATCGTAATGGATAACATTTGAATGTTTACTAAATGCCAGAAACTATGAATTAACTCCTTGCAAAAAAGCTAAGAGATGGGTCTTTTTGTTATCCCTGTTTTACAGATGTGGGGACTGAAACACAGTAAGGTTGGGGAGCTTGTCCATATATGTGCTGATAAGTGGCCAGGGTGCAAACCAGAGCGTCCTGGTTCAGAGCCCCAGACAATCCTGCTGTGATATGTCTCAGACATAGTCTACTCACCAGTCCCCTGTTGGTGGACATTTGAGTGAATTGCAGATTTTTGCTATTGCAAACAATACTGCAGCAGACATCTTTGTCCACTTCTGCAGGTCTTTCTGTAACATAGGTTCTTAGATTTCTTCAGTTTCTTGGTAGAAAGAGCTTATTTATTTATTCAAAAAGTATTTATTGAGCTCTAGGCATTGGAGAGGCTCTGAGCTGAAAACAGGAAACTTGACCAGAATTTCACTTCTCAGATGTCCTATAAAGGTCACTTAAGTGCTTTTCATGGTTTGCCAGCCTCGTGCTGCCCCAGACCCTAGACTCACTGCATCCTGTCTGTTTTTAATTGCGTCACTACCCAGGCAAAGACACAGTGGCGTAACTGAGTCAATGCTTGGGCTCCCACGTGGTGGTCCATAGTCAAAAATAATCTCCACTTGCCAGATAGCAGTGATTACAATGCCTCAGAGCCTGGGTTCTAGAATTTACAGAGGCAGAATAGCATAATGGCAAATAACTTGTATTCTGTTGACACAACTGCCTGGATACAAATCCCAGCTCTTCACGATGTATTCACAAAATGACTCTGAACAAGTTACTTACCATCTCTGTGCCTCAATTTCCTCATCCACACAATAAGGATAGCAATATAACTACTTTATAGGGTTGTCGTAAGGAATAAATGGGTTAATATATGTAGACTTCTTAGTTAATATATATAAAACACAGAATACATTTTTTTTCTCTTGAGCAGAGATAAAAAGCTTTAAAAACATGGGAGAAATATTAGGATTTCAGCATGAAAGCAAGATTGTTGGCTCATGGAGGATAAAGCCCACACCTGATATTTATTTATATCCCATATATTTTTAACACAATGCTAGGCACCTAAAAACTGGAGATGTCTAGGAACGTATGCTACTTAAATTTGTGTTGAATAACATATAATGTTAGCATTTGAAACAACTACAATAATAAATACAATGTTCACATTTGAAATAAGGCTTGAAATGGCAAAAAATTGCCGGGCGCGGTGGCTCACGCCTGTAATCCCAGCACTTTGGGAGGCCGAGGTGGGTGGATCACGAGGTCAAGAGATCAAGACCATCCTGGTCAACATTGTGAAACCCCGTCTCTACTAAAACTACAAAAAAATTAGCTGGGCATGGTGGTGCGTGCCTGTAGTCCCAGCTACTCAGGAGGCTGAGGGAGGAGAATTGCCTGAACCCAGGAGGCGGAGGTTGCGGTGAGCCGAGATCGTGCCATTGCACTCCAGCCTGGGTAACAAGAGCGAAACTCCGTCTCAAAAAAAAAAAAAAAGAAATGGCAAAAAATTGCAACAACTTAAACGTAGGTGTGGAAAAGCTGCCACACCAATCTTTCCATAAAATAGTTGATGACATCCTTGCATTTTGGTGGGGAGTCAAAGGGGGCAAAGAGTTAGCTGTTATTAAATAAGTAATGTGTTCACATGGGTCAAAATTGAAAAAGTACAAAATGATATTTAGTAAAAAATTTTATCTCCTATTGGTAACATGGGGCTTATGTGGTGTGGGTAATAATTCTATTTCTCAACCTGGGAAGTGATTGTATGGAGAATTTACTTTATGATAATTTCACATACTTTACATATATGCTTTATGTACTTTTGTAGGTATATTTCTCATTTGCAAAAAGGGCAGAAATAGTAGAAATTCCAAAGAGATGGGGAGAATTTTCCTGCTCAGTTCCCTTCTCCAATGGTAACAGGCTCTTTTGTATACTTCCAAAGATATTTTATTGCATCTATAAGCACACATTTTTAGTATACAAATATAGATGAACTACCAGCTTGATTTTTCTCTTGTTTCTTTTTACTTAGAGATATTTTGTATTGGCACATAGAGTTCTTAACTCTTTTTAAAGTAGCTGTATAGAATTCCATTGTATGGATACATCATTATTTAATTAGTCCCCTAGTGACAGATGTTTAAATTGTTGAAATTTTTTGCCATTTCAAACCTTATTTCGAATGTGAACATTGAACTTATTATTGTACTTGTTTCAAATGCTAACATTGTACATTATTCCACACAAATTTAAGTAGCATACATTCCTAGACATCTCTAGTTTTTAGGTGCCTAGCACTGTGTTAAAAATATGTGGGAAATAAATAAATATCAGGTGTGGGCTTTGTCCTCCATGAGCCAACAACCTTGCTTTCATGCTGAAATCCTAATATTTCTCCTGTGTTTTTAAAGCTTTTTATCTCTGCTCAAGAGAAACAATGCCTTCTAACTGAGCCCTCCTGAAACAGCCTGTGTGTGGCTTTTAGAACCAGGAAAGAGTACTCGTAGTGGCAAAAAGTTGTAGTTTGGTATCCAGCAGGATCCCTAGGGGAGGGCACAGAACAGTTATTGCCACCCAAAAAGCATCCTCCATACCTGCATATGTCAAAAGCTTCTCTTTCACCTTAGCTCAAAAGCTTCTTTTCCATAAATACAACCTAAATCCCTCCAACTAGAAATGAATACTTACTCCTCTATAGCGTGTTTTCTATGTGACCTCTTATAGCATGATTTCTCTGTACTGCTGTCTTAGTCCATTTTCTGTTGCTTATAACAGAATACCTGAAACTGAGTAATTTATAAGAAAAGGAATTTATTTCTTACAGTTATGGAAGCTGAAAAGTTGAAGGCCGAGGGGCTGCATCTGATGAGAGTCTTCTTGCTGGTAGAATCTCTCCGAAATATCCCAAGATGGCATGGAGTATCACATGGCTAGAGGGCTTAGTGTGCTAGCTCAGATCTCTTCCTATTTTCATAAAGCCATGAATTCTCCTCCCATGATAACTTATTCATTAATCCATGAGTGGATTAATCCATTCATGAAGGCAAAGCCCCCATCACCTCTTAAAGGCCTAGCTCTTAATACTGTCACATTTGGGACAAATATTCAAACCACAGCACTCATGTAGGGTATGAATAATTTTCCTCCCTAAAATTATATTTTTTTGGTTTATATATCTTGTTTCCTACATTTGACCAGTTGGGGACGAAGTCTGATTCATCTTTAATCCCGCATAGCCTTTGCAAATTAAAAAGAGGAATAGGAAAAGAATCAGTATGTACAGATGGTGATTTGGGATAGGATGGAGCTAGATAGAGGCAGAAGAATGTGTATAAGAAAGAGTCCTCGCCCAGGGATCAGGAGGGGCTGGTTCTCTGTGTCTCAGCATCTTCATCTGTAAAGTAGGATCTTAATTCTGGCTGGGACAACTTTACTAGGTTGTGCTGAGGATCATGAAAGACAGCACAACAGACTAAAAGGCCATGTTATATGAATACAGGGAATGATAGTATTTCGTGCTTAGCAGCCCTTAAACATTAACATTTGACACATTAGCAAACTAAGTCCTAGAGAGGCAATATGACTTGAGGTCACAGTCAGGGGCTAAGTCTGAAAAGGGGGCAGAGGATAGTCATTTTAGGACCAGAAGAAACCTATTCCTTTTCTGCCTGTGTTGGGATTAGAAGGTCTGAATTCTCAGACTTCTGGGTTTATCTTAGTTTTGTTGTGTGAAGCCTCAACCTAGCATCAGGTCAGTAGAGGAATAAGAAAGAAAGACGTTAATCTGGAGAGAAATGAATCTCAAAAGCGGAGAGAAGAGATAGTTGATGCAACAAGAGATACAAATGACCACTAAAAGTATGGAGGAAAAGCTAAATATTTTAGCAATTAAGGAAATACAAAGGAATCCTCAAAATGCCATTTTCACTCACAAAGGTGGCAAATAAAATAAGAATACGTACTGTTTGTGTGGCAGGTGTGCTGGGAAACTGACTCTCTCATACATTGCTAGTAGTAGAATAAAATGATATAACTTTTTCTAGGGCAATTTAGAAATATGTATCATAAACACTTTGATCTAGGAATTCCCCCTTCTAGGCAATTATGCCATGGAAAGAATCACAAATATGCACAAGGTTGTTTATTGCACTTTGATTTATAAAAGAAGAACTATAAACATATGTCTAATTGTTAAATTACGGTGTATCTGTTCAGTGGAATACTATACAATGATTATAGCTAACACTTATTAAGTTGTGCATTGTTGCTAAGTTATTTAAATTATTAACTTTAATCATTAGAATAATTCTGTGAGGATGCTATCATTATTTATCTCCATTTTACAGATGAGGACTGAGGCTCAGAAAGGCTAACTTGTCCTGGGCCACACTGCTAATAGGTTGAACAGTGTGGATTTGACTGTAGGTCTGTCTGATGCCAGGGCCCATGGCCTCAATCACAGTGCTGTACTTCCTATGCGGCTGCCAAAAATCATGTTTTAGGCTGGCCTGGTGGCTCAAACCTGTAATATCAGCACTTTGGGAGTCTGAGACAAGCGGATCACTTGAGCTCAGGAGTTTGAGACCAGCCTGGCAACATGGCAAAACCCCATCTCTACCAAAAATATAAAAAATTAGCCAGGCATGGTGGTACACACCTAGTCCCAACTACTTGGGGGCACTGAGGCGCGAAGATCGCTTGAGCCTGGGAGGTTACAGTGAGCCAAGATCACGCCAGTGCACTCTAGCCTGGGTGACAAAGTGAGAGGCCCTGTCCCCCCAAAAAATCATGTTTTAAAGGAATAGTTAATGACATTCTAAAATGACCATGATATAATGGCAAGTGAAAAAAGCAGGATACGAAATGATAGTATATGATGGCGATTTTATTTTAAAAGTGTATGTATATATTTTTCATTCAAAGAAAAACTGGGAGGCTTCATACCTGTTAGTAATGATTATCTCTGGGTGGTAATATTACAGATTATTTTTATTTCCATCCCTATTATATTTTGTATTTCCCAGTTTTTCTGTAAAGAACACGTATTACTTGTATAATCAGCAAAAATAAAAATGTTAACATAAAAAGAGGTCTGAAAGCAAGCCTCTTGTAGCCTTTATGCTTATAACACATCCATAGCAATACTTCATTTTTTAATCTAAGTGACTAATTCTTTTGTGGTGTTTGATCACAGAGGAGCCATCTTTTCAGACATTCTTTGGGGATGAGTGGCAACATAGCTGTATAATCTCTAAGGACTTTGACTACAACAAAGTACCCTTTAGACCACAACCTCTTCTGCCCTTATGACTTGTAATAGTCTCTAGTCTTGGGACTATGGTCTCCTGAGGAGGAGGGATGGATACTTAATGCAAGGAGTCCACATATCTTTAGATGCATAAATGTTTTTCTCACTTGGTAAGTTCTAAAAGTACAGCTACTATTGTGGGTGAGAGTGGGTGAAGTGAGATTTTTTTTTTTTTTAGTCTTAAGAAGGGGCCCGTATATCTAAAACGTTGTGAACCACTGGAATAGAGTCTAAGAATGGTGGCTATTTAATTATCAGCATCATGAATAAAAGATGCTCAGTTCTGGCCCTTTGAATCAGGGTTTATGAGTCTTTGCCCCATACTAAAAGAGATCACCCTTATTATTTGCAAGCATCATCTTTGCCACCCATTCTCATCACATTTGTGTACATTCTCTAAACCGTCAATTGGTTTGTACATCTAAAATTTGTCTCTATATTTCTCCTTTACTAAGCGTAGCTCTTGACATCTAAAGCTGAATATGTCTCAAGCATAGCTTATTATGTAACACTGCCCTTATCCCCTACCACAGCAAATTTACTTTTTCTCCTGTCTTCCCTCTCTTTCTGTTGGCCACATTATCCACACAGCTCCCAAATTAGAAACCTTTGACTCCTTCTCCTTCCTTATTGTTCACATCCAATTGATCACCAAGCCCAATATATTTTACCTCTCCAATTTACCTCAGAGTCATGCTGTCTGCTTCATCCTCACTGCAGCTGCCTGCCTATATTATAACAACTTCTCAACAGGTTCTTCCTTTTGGAGAATCACTCCACAAGAAAGGCAGAGGGCTGTTTCTAAAATGCAAATCTTGGTCAGGTGCGGTGGCTCACGCCTGTAATCCCAGCACTTTGGGAGACCGAGGCGGGTGAATCCCCTGAGGTCAGGAGTTCAAGACCAGCCTGGCCAACATGATGAAACCCCATCTCTACTAAAAATACAAAAAATTAGCAGGGCGTGGTGGCGGGCACCTGTAATCCCAGCTACTCGGGAGGCTGAGGCAGGAGAATCACTTGAACCCAGGAAGCAGAGGTTGCAGTGGGCTGAGATCGCACCACTGTACTCCAGCCTGGGCAACAAGAGCAAAACTCCGTCTAAAAATAAATAAAATAAAAATGAAATAAAATGCAAATCTCATTACGTCACTCCCTGCTTAAAATCTTTAGTGCCTCCCCATTGTCTGCAAGATAAAGCCTACAATCCTCTGCTTGTCATTCAAGGCATGGCCCAATCTGGCCACATCCTCATCTTCTGCTACTCACAACAAGGCACCTACCTTGTACTCTGGTCACTCCGAACACACCATACATTTTATTTTCATGTTTGTATTTTTTTAAACCTTCACTGCCTAATTTATCTTTCATGACTGACCTCAAGCACATTTCCTTTAGGGAGACTTTTCTTGATATGACCAGATAGAACTCACCATTCCTTCATCAGTCTCTTCACTTCATCCCATAAACACTTCTATTATGACCTCAAATAACACTTTATGGCCATTATTTTCTCCACATTTGTCCTCTCTATATGTGAACTCCTCAGGGGAAGCCCCCGTGTCTTTTTCATCTCTGTGTCTCTTGAACTTCAGCCATACTGATCACACTGCCTTGTGAACATGTGAGGCCTTTTTATGACATCCACCTTTGCACAGGTGGATCTGTCTGCTGGGAATGCCATTCTCCTTTTCTCCTCTTCTCTGCACAAGCAAACATCTGCTCATCCTTTGAGACTCATCTCAAGTGTGGTCTTTCTGAAATCTGTGCACATTCTCAGAGTTAACTGTTCCCCACTCTGTGCTCCCTTAGTCTTTTGGTAAACCCTTGATTTTAGCATTTGCTATGAAAGCATTTTATTATAATTATCAGCATACATGACTGCCTCTCCTACCCATCTCCCCAACTCCACCCTTAGGTTTTGAGATCTCAGCAGTTATCTTTGTGTCTCTAGCACAAAGCACTGTAGGTAAACAACAAATACTTCCTTGATCAATAATTAAATAAAGTCTTTTATGGTACGTGGTGGCCTGGGTAGGTCAGTAAGCTTTGAATACTTACTTGTATATCAGGTCAAGTCACCTCTGGGTAGATGCTAGATTCATAGGCTTTTCTAGGTCTTGACTTGAAATCTCTCTGTATTGTTTTTCCAGGTGCTTAATGATCAATAGTTGTTGCACTGCCTATCCTCACCCCCCCATGAGCCTTGGTTTTTATGCAACCTATGGTCATGCAGGGATGCCCTTACACCCTTCCACGATGTCATGATTGGCAGGCAGCTGACCAGTTCCGTCATAGCAGCAGCCTCCGAAGTACCTGCCCCCAGCCTCAGGTAAGAGTCTGATTGTAAAAGAAAGACCTGTGGAGAAATAGTGGACACAGGATTTGTGTGTGCTTGGGGTACTCATGCTTCCTAAGGCTCAGGGGCACTCTCTGTATACATGCAAACCCTTGGATAGCACGAGGAATATATTGGGCCCATCCTTTATCACTCATGAGGTCTTTTATGGGGTGCATAGGGAAAGGAAGAGTGTGGGGCTGGGCAGGTCAGAAGGCCCACTGTGGCTGAGGGGGGCTGGTTCCTTGTTAACCTTCTAAGAGTTACAGATCCGGGAATGCCCTACAAGAGTATGATCCTTCAGAGCATGGTCCAGGACAAGGCAGGACCTTCCTCTGCCTTGGCTTCTCTGTGGCATGCCTTCCATATTCTGCAGGTGTCTCTCTCCTGCCATTGGCTTTTCCTCTCAAGTTCCTAGCCGTTTTCATAGCTTCTGGCTCAGCCCCACTTAAAGTCCCCTGAGCTTCATATCTGCCTCTCCTCTCTCTCTGCTCCCCTAGGAGTGCAATGGTGGTGGTGTATGTGCCCGCCAGTGTATGTTGGTAGGCAGGTAGAGGATGCATGTGAGACAGGAGAGGGCAGCCCCCTTTCCTGACAATGAGGCAGGTCTAGGGAAAGTTGACTGGGAAAGGGAGATGCATAAGCATACTTTGGGTTGCCCTCTAATGCTTTGGGGTCCAGAAGCTATGGGGGTATGAGAAAGTGCTATGTCTCCTGGAGCCTCACAAATGGGCTGCAGTGCTGAGTCACTGCTAGGGGGGCAGGCAGCAACTGAATATACAGGGAGGAGGAAGGGAGGAAGAAAGGAAGTGGAGATGGAGAATATGGATGCTGGGGAGCCCGTTTGGGGGGCAGTAATGAAGGAAAGTCAATGTCTGGAGAGGCATCAGAGTCAGGTCCCCTTGAGCTATTTTCCCACATCCGGCCTGAAAGAAATTGCTGCCTCGAACATATTCTCAAAGCCAGGGTCAACGTAGACTCTCCCATTAACCTACCCCTTCCCCAGAGTGAGTCTTTCACAGGATCTAGGGATTGAGAAAACTGAGCTCTTCCAAAAGGCTTGCCCTATTCATTGTCTGCCCCCTCCAAGCACCACCATGTAGGCAGGGGGACCTGAGGGCTTCATTTTGTGATTGCTGATGGCATGGCTCAACTTCTCTCTTCTGCCACAATCCAGTGTCTCTTCCTTTCCTGCAGCCTTTTCCTCAAAGATTCAAGGGAGGGATAGAGAGCCCTGCAGGGAGTGGAGTGCAAGAAGCAAATATCCTACAAAAGCCAGAAGTAGAAAGCAACTGACATTGCTATTCATCATTTGCCTATTGTGTGTCAGGCTCTGCTAGATGTGACTTGAGAGTATACGGGGAAGTAGGAGAGGAAAAGCAGGGCAATGGTGAATAGTATGGCAGCTGGGTGGGGGTGGGGGTTTAGGAAACCAAGAAGTCTGCAGGGAATGCAAAGCTAACATGTGTAGAACCCAGCTCATCATGGGTGCTCCTCTCAGAGCAAGGACAGCTTGGTTGTAGCTGGGTCACAAGGAGCTGTTTCTAACTCTGGGGCATTCCCAGTGCAGAGGACCCAGCACAAGTGAAGCTACGGCCCAGAGCTAGAGTCACTCCCTGCTCTTGGCCTGCCATCCCTTGCCATCCCCCAGCCACCCTGGTTGGCTCCACCTAAGAACCCCAGAAAGAGTCAGGCAGCTGTTCCAGCTATTCCTGTAGGTGGGCCTCAGCATGGAAACAATGTAGAACTGTTGGAAAGCCCAGAAGACTCTGTGGGAGATAAATGAGGATGGGAACAGAACCCTTTTTGGTAAAAATGATGTGTTTTCCCTCAGTGCTGAGGGGTGGGGGCCCAGCTTGGGAATGTTAACCTTTCTCCAGACAAGTCTGTTTGAAAAGGAGAAAAGTGGCCACTTCCAGGAGGGGCCCTTCCCCTCAGACCAGTGGCTTATGGGAAAGGGCCTTCCTCCTGCCCCCATCCAGGGTAGCACAGGCGGGGCACAGGAGCCTCCCTGGCACCAGCTGCCTACATGGAACTGCTGGGTCCCAATGACCCCTTTCCCTCCCCTGTGAAGGTTCAACAGGATGCCCACAAAGCGCCAGTTCCCTTTGGCCTCAGGGTGCAGTGAGAGGTCTGATGGCTGTGGCTCTCCCTCCACTCCTCTCTGCTTCTCAAAGGCAGGGCAGAGCACCCCTCCATTTTCACAGTGGGCTCTGATGGATCTCCTGGCCTCTGCACTCACCCAAGGATAATCACATTCTGAGGGATTCTGCTGCCCATGCTTCGCAATGCTGCCATCCCATGGATTTGTCCCCAGATATGCCACAAACCTTCCTTACTGTCTCTGAGGAGGCTTACTTAGTCGAACACAAGGCTTATTTTCAAAGCCCATCCTCTAGTCATGTCTTGGGGAAATTGCTTACCAGAAGTTTGTCACCAAAGTGATCTGCCCGTATGCTCCACCTCAGGGGAGGGGTGGGCCTAGAGGCAGCGTGAGCCCTTTGTGTCTTCCATGGAAAAAGAAAATAAATCTACAGAAGCTACGCTCTGCATGCCCCTCCTCAACACCATGGAATGCCCAGTCCCACTCCCGCCACCCTTGCCAGCCTGAGAGGGCCATCGCAGCCCCCGGTGTGGCAAGCCCTCACAGTTGGGAGCATGCTGGAATTCCCCAGAGACAAAGCTCTGATTCACAAGCCAGGCCCTGACATAGCCGCCCCCTCCAGATTCCTGGGGGGTCAGTAAACAAACAGGGTGACAGCCCCCGACTCCTGACCTGACTCAGCCCCGCCTGCCTCACTGAGAGGGCTTGCTCAGAGCCTGTCAGGACTTCTGCCTGTCTGCAGCTCACCAGGCACTAGGTCTGGATTCCTGGTGAGGGATGAACATGGAGCTGCCAGATCCTGCAATGGACTCCCCAGGCAGCACAGGTAGGGTCAGCTCCTGGGCTGCAGGCTGGCTGAGTGCTGAGCTTTTCCCATAGCTTAATTCCTTACTCACTTCCCTTTCCCAGTGTGGCTATGAGCTATGGTTTTAATGGGATGATTGGTTTCCTAAATTGCCCGGAGAGTCTTGTGTGGGGAGGAAGTATGGTTTAGCGGTGAGGGAAGACTACAAGCATCTCAGCCACTGACTAGCAGTGCTGTTTTCTTTCCAAATGAAGGCAAGCATGTAGACAAGCTAGTAGGCAGGTGTGGGTCTCCCTAGTCTGGGGTAGAGCAGCCCAGGCTGATTTCCTCCTCCAATTCCCCTTCCCTCCACCTGCTTCTGCCCTCTGGCTGGGCAGTTCTGGCAGTGTGCTGTAGGTAGCTACCTTCCTTAGGACTATTTGGGATAATCACCATTCTCCCAAACCTCACAATTCCCCCCATAGAGCCTTACCAGTGTCCAGGAGAGCAAGCGATAGACTATGTGCCTGGGGGCTCAAGACTAGACTTTGGCAGGCTCCATGACTTGTCCTCTTGGCCACCGACTCTGGTCAGAGTCCTTTGCTCATCTTTATGAGCAGAGCTCTTGAAAACTATGTCCAGGCCTTCTGACTGTGGTGGGAAGTACGGGTGGAGAAGGGTGGTGGACACATCAAAGCCAAGGTTCATATGGGAAGTAAGACATCGACTGCTGATGGTTCTCTCTTGCTAGTCTACTCCCTCTATAAATCTTTATGGTGAAACTCCTCAGCTTGCTTTTCTAGAAGGTTGCGTAGACTGTAGGACCCTGAAGTACGAGCCAACAGCTCACCTGGAATGCTATGGTTGCCCAGAAATTGGGCAATTCTGTGCAGCTTCTTACCTAATGCAGGTACTTCCAAGACCCCATTTGGACAGTGGTCTGGGCAAAATTTATAATAATGAGCAACAATACTAGTAGGCAGTAGTTCTATGTCACTGACATGTACCAAGAGAAGACCAGGCAATGAACAGGGCTACAGGGTCTTTCTTCATCTCAGTCCCTGAATACACACACACACACAGAACAGTGTTTCTGAACCGTGGCAGCAGCCCTTCTCTCCCCTTGCTCATATTTGTCTCATCCTTGGATTGGAGCAGACCAGGGTGTGGTACAATCCAAGGATCACAGGATGTTTGTGTTTCTGTCCAGGTTAGAGCTGCTGTCACCAGCCCTGCACCTCCTCAGGATGGTGCTGGGGTTCCCTGCCTAAGCCTAAAGCTGTTGAACGGGTCTGTTGGTGCCTCTGGACCCCTGGAACCACCAGCCATGAATCTGTGTTGGAATGAAATAAAAAAGAAGTCTCACAACCTCCGGTAAGAAACAGGTACCTTAGGGAATTGGCTTGGATGGTGTTGGGCTCCTTTTGCTGCTGCAGCCTGTCCTCCTTTCAGCCTGTGCCTCCCCCTTTCCTTAGCCCACCCACTTCTCCTCGCTTTCCTATGCTGGCTCTAGGGAAAGAGCCTTGCTTAGAAGTCAGGAGACTTGGATCTAAGCCTCAATTTTAAGTAGATGTGTCACCCTGAATAACTTGAGTTCTTGAAATGTTAGCTTCCATTTGTTTTTGTTTTTATATGGGAAAAAAAATGAGTGGAGGAATCATACCTGTTTTAACTACCTCATGGGGATTCAAATCAGATGTAGAAATGCTTTCTAAACTTAAAAGTGCCGATGTATAAATGAAGGGGATGATTGCTCCCTTCTCCTCTTCCTCTCATAGCTGTTCTACATCTTGGTAGGTTTCATCTGTTCACTTCCCCATCCTTTTACGTTCTATCCGTAAGTTTTCAGCCCACGTATTTCTCCCCAAACTAAGGGTAGCTCTATAAGAGCCTAAAGGCAATCTCTTTCTCAGTTGATCAGCTTTCCATGGCCGTCTGTTCATGCCTGCCACTTTTCTTCTCCACCCTCTATCATCAAAGTCCATGTTTCTGGCTTCTTGTGGGCTTTGGTAGGGGTGACGGATTGTGAATGTGTTGAAAGAATGCAAGCTTTGGAGTCAGATAAACCTGAGTTTAAATCATAGCTCTATCAGTAACTTAACTGTGTGACCTTTGGGAATCTATTTACCCTTTCTGGGCAATAGGAATGCCTACCTGATAAGGTTGTTGTAAGAATTAGTTGAAGCAATAATTTAGTTAAAGATCTTGGCCTAGGTGATGGTGGTGGGGGTGGGGGGGTGGCAATGAATAAAGATAGTTATTATTGTCAGCCAAGTGGAATGGCTTGATGGCTACACACATCCTTGGCCAGCCTCCAGCTTCCTACCATGGTTCATTTGGAGGGCAGCGGGGTGGAAGGGCAGACAGAGATAATTATATAGTACAGATTTTTCTGTTTCCAAATCTCAGACCTCTAGCCAGTGTTCCTTTGGGTCGCATGGGCTGTTATATTCGTATGCATCCTTGCACATGTGTATGACTAACTCAGCCACCCAACTTACCCTTTCTGCTTACTGAATCCTCTCTGCTCAGAAGGCAGTTCAGAACAGCCTCTACGGATGAGCAGTTTGGGGTGACTTGAATTCTACCAGAGCAAGAGGGGAACCAGACAGCTGTCACCTCTAATGCTCTTGCTCAGTTTCCTCCCCTTCCCAGCCTGACATTTGGCATGCAACTGAAGTAACTGAGATCCACAAAGTGACATTTTAAGCCATTCAAATTTGGGATGCCTCCACACCCATGGTTCTACCATGGTTTTAGTACTGTGCTCCATGTGGAGGTGCTTTGGGAACCTCTGTGGGTGAGTAAGAGGGAAGACCCCAGGCCTCCTCCCACTTGAACCAGAAAAGCTCCTCTTGAAATTGTTTTCTATATTAACGTTCCACATAACTTAGTTTGGAAAAAAAAATGTTTTGCCACTTAATAAGACTGAACATCACTGGATTTACCCATTGTGTGCAGCGCTCGCCTAGAGGCCTTCTCAGACCACAGTGGAAAGCTTCAGCTCCCTCTTCAAGAGATTATTGACTGGCTCAGCCAAAAGGATGAGGAGTTGTCAGCTCAGCTGCCCCTACAAGGAGATGTGGCCCTGGTGCAACAGGAGAAGGAGACACATGCGGTAGGTTAGAATCAGAGAAGCCGTGGTGTATAGCCTCTCAGCTGGGAGGAATCCCTTCTGCAATACCCTGACAGACACCCAGCTCTGCTTAGATACATAAATGAATAGGAGGCTGTATGCAGTCCTACTAGTCTGTGGCCAGCATGCCACAGCCTATGTCAAATATTTTCTTTCTACCCCCTCATCAAATTCTGGCCTCCCTTACAATATTGCCATGATTTTTAATGGGAACGTGGGGAAATGAACATAATATAATGTTAAGTGAAAAAAACAGGATACAAAACTAAGTGCAAATGGACCTGAATTGTATAAAAATGTAGTGTGATGTTTACATACATATAACAGCTTAGGAAGAAACTATATCAAAATGTTAACAATGGTTAACTCTAGGTAATAAAATTAGAGTTCTTAAATTTCTTCTTCATATCTTTCTCAAATTTCTAGTATTTCTGTGATATATATTACTGCTGTAGTTAAAATACTTCTTAAAATGGCTACAGAATGAAATATAATACAGCAGTAAAATAAACTATAACTGCATGCCACAGCATGGGTGAATCTTTTTTTTTTTTTATGGGTGAATCTTACAGACAGTATGTTGAGGGAAAAAAAGCCAGATACAAAAAGAGTACATACTGTATGATTCCACTTACACAAAGTTTAAAAATAGGCAAAACTAATCAGTGGTTTTACAAGTCAGGATCGTGGTCACCTTTGCGGGAGGGGAAAGAGGGAGGGGTGGGGTGTGAAGGTGAGATAATGACCAGTAGGGGCCACGGGGGATGCTGGTAGAATTCTGTTTCTTAATCTCAGTACTGGTTACATCAAGAGTACACTTTTAATTTGTGTACTCTGTATATATTTCAACCAAAAATTTAATTATAATTTTAATATAAATCCTGCCTATCTTGGTTTTGATTTCCTTAAGACCCTTACAGGAAGCTTCCTGAGTCTTCTGGAGAACCAAGATCCCCAGTTTTTCTCTACCCTGTGGCATAGACAGACAAATTTCATACAAAACAGACCTTCCAGTGTCAGAGTTATTTTTCTGCCTGTCAGGAGGATTGCTGTCTTTTTGTCCGGGTAGCCCAAAGATATCTGATAATGACAAAGAATCAAGTCGCACTGAGAAGAAGAAAGGTTGTCAATTTCAGGATGGAATGTAAAGTGATTGAAAGACTTTCCTTTCCTCTTGACCATATTGTTAAACTTTATAGGCCTTTATGGAAGAAGTCAAGTCTCGGGGCCCGTACATTTATTCTGTTTTGGAGTCAGCTCAGGCCTTCCTGTCCCAACACCCATTTGAGGAATTAGAGGAGCCTCATTCTGAGAGCAAAGGTAGGTGGTCTTCTGTTTTTCCCACTTCTTGAGCTATGTACTGCTGAACAGACACCCTCCTGCCTTCCTCAAACTCATTCTCTGATCCATTATCTAGGAGGATAGTTTCCCCCAGGAGTCCATTCAAAGCTGGGGAGAAGCAAGATTCCTACTGCTCGAAAAAGCCAAGAGAATATAGCCTGGGGCAGGGATCAACAGTTGTGTGGCCCAAAGCTGTATGTGACTCTTTGGAGCAGCATGTGTGGCCCTTTAATGAGATTTGGAAAAGAAAAAAAAAATACCACTCAAATGAATTGAATTGACTCACTGAATAAAAGTACCAATATGTCCTTTAAAAACATAGTGGTAGCTGGGTGTAGTGGTTCACATCTGTAATCCCAGCTCTTTGGGAGGCTTGGGATCACTTGAGCCCAGGATTTTGAGACCAGCCTGGGCAACATAGTGAGACCCCCATCTCTACAAAAATTTTTAAAAAATTAGCTAGGTTTTGTGGTGTGTGCCTATAGTCCCAGCTACTTGAGAGGTTGAGGTGGGAGGATCATTTGAGCCCAGAAGTTTAAGGCTGCAATGAGCTATGATTGCTTCACTGCGTTCCAGCCTGGGCAACACAACAAGACCCTGACTCTGAAAATAAATAAAATAAAATAATAATAATTTTTAAAACTGCTTTATTCCAACATCGAGGGACATGCAAACAAGCAAATAGTAAACCTTTATAAAATCTAAAAAGTTAGGTGATGATTGCCTTTGAAAGGAAAATTGACTATGACTCTGGGTTTTTTTTGTTTTTTGTCTTTGTTATTGAGACAGCCTCTTGCTCTGTAACCCAGGCTAGAGTGCAGTGGTGTGATCATGGCTTACTGTAGCCTTGACCTCCCAGGCCCAAGGGATCCTCCTGCCTCAGCCTCCTGAGTAGCTGGGACTATATGCACACCCAGCTAATTTTTGTATTTTTTGTAGAGACCAGGTCTCGCCATGTTGGCCCGGCTGGTCTTGAACTGTTGGGCTTAACCGATCTGCCTTCCTTGGCCTCCCAAAGTGTTAGAATTATAGACATGAGCCACTGCGCCTAGCCAACTGTGACTGTTTGATACTGACTCCGATGACTTCTAGCTCCTTCCCTTGGTAGAGAGGGCCACTCTGGTCTCTCTACCAGAGATTCAAATAGGGCAGCAGGGTGGGATTCATAGTGACTAGATCTGAGTGGTGGTCCAGTAAGCCCTTTTCTCCAAAAAGAATCCTCAACGCTCTGAGATAGATTGTGAATAGCCTGAAAGGCCCCTTCATGAATTGAGACCTTTGTCAATGCCATATGCTCTCTCAGTTTACTTCTGGCCCCTCAATGGGACGGCTAGTACTTAACTTGATGCCCAATGGGCCTCAGATAGGACAAGCTCTAGAGAGAGCAGCACAATTCTAGTTAGCCTAGGGCTCTGGGGCTTTGAATCTTCTGAGGAGAGATCTGAGGGAAGAAGAAATCTACAGATTAAGAGCCTAAGTGGAAAAGCTGGGACTTTATACCAACTTCTCCTGGGCTGGGCCTCCATAAAATGCCTCCCTTTGGATGGAAGTGGGCAACAGAAACTAATGCAAAATCACATTCCATGGTCATATGAGTAGGGCTCTAGATGATTCGCCTCACTATACCTCTTAAAATGTCTTGCCTTTTCATTTCCTACTGTTTTAAAATCTGAGGAAATCCTTTATGATACAGTAAGTGGAAAAAAACGATATGGTCTCTTGGCTGTGGTGGTGGATATGTAAACCAACGCATGTGATAAAATCACATAGAACTAAACACACGTGTACACACACACGCACACACAAATGAATACAAGTAAAACTGGGGAACCTGTGACAAAATTGGCAGATTATGTCAATGTCGATATTCTGATTGTGATATTGTACTATAGTTTTGCAAGATGTTATCATTTGGGGAAACTGGGTAAAGGGTACATGAAATCTCTGTGTTATTAGTTATATCTGCTTATGATTTAAAAATAAACAGCTTTTTTAAAAAATGTGAATGTATTAAAGAACTTAACCATGGAAAAATATGTATTTGTGTGTATATGAATATATGTACAAACATGCCCACATGTGCACACACACATGCACACACATTTTATAAAGGGCTGTCTCTGTCTCTTTCTCTGGGCTGACCCTGTCTGGTTGGCCCAACCTGGCTTCCTGCCTCTTCCTGCAGATACCTCCCCTAAACAGCGGATCCAGAATCTCAGCCGCTTTGTGTGGAAGCAGGCGACGGTGGCCAGTGAACTATGGGAGAAGCTGACAGCCCGCTGTGTGGACCAGCACCGTCACATTGAGCGCACTCTGGAGCAGCTCTTGGAGATCCAAGGGGCAATGGAGGAACTAAGCACTACTCTGACCCAAGCTGAGGGAGTCCGAACCACTTGGGAGCCCATTGGGGATCTCTTCATTGATTCACTCCCAGAGCACATCCAGGCTCTTAAGGTATGCAGCCCCCCTCCACTGGCTATAGTCCATCCTAAGACCTGACACTCTCCCCAGACCCTGACAATGTTTCTACTGCTGAGACTCTGTTGTTGGCCTGGACTACAACTGAGCTGCTGTCAGTTTATGTGCCAGATTTGGGGTTGGTTTGGCTGGAGCCTCTTCTGTTTTTCTACTTTCTTCCCTTCTCCTGGTGTTTTCTGAGTGGAGAAGAAGAGGATAAGGACAGTGGCCACTCACAACTTAGTCTGGTTGCCCTAATGGGCAAGCACTAGGCTGTTTTATTGAAACCAAACCTGTAGGTGAAGAGGGAAGAGTAGAGATGAATGACTAATGGTTCTTCTTTCCCACTCTGTCTGCTGTGGGACTTGGGTCCTGGTTCTCCAGCTATTCAAAGAAGAATTCTCCCCCATGAAAGATGGAGTAAAGTTGGTGAATGATCTGGCCCACCAACTGGCCATTTCTGATGTGCACTTGTCAATGGAGAATTCCCAGGCCCTGGAACAGATCAACGTCCGATGGAAACAACTACAGGTAGAAGAGCAGCCTGGAGTGAACCATGGGGAGGTGCCTCCATATAACTAGGCTTGGGGGAAACTTCTTCAGGGGTATTGAAATGGGATCTGCATGGGAAAAGAGGAATGGAGAATGTGGGGCTAGGGAATGGGCTTTTCAACCTCTAAGCTGTAGGGAATGATTGAAATGAAGAGGATTCTTTCTGGATTTGGGCACTCAGGGTAGACAGGGACAGGGGAAGAGTGACTATGGCCTGGAATTAGGGATGCTCTGCTGTGACCCTTGGGAATTCTGGGGGATGGCTAAGAGTTGGGAGACAGTGGGAGAGGTTGGAACCAGAGAAAAGCCAGCGTCTGAGGGAGCTCATAAAGATTCCTGGAGGCACCTGGGGATCCCACTCTAAATAGCTGCAATGAATCTACTGACCTCACCCTGTTCTTTCCATAGGCATCAGTTAGTGAGAGGCTTAAGCAGCTCCAGGATGCCCATCGGGACTTTGGGCCTGGGTCACAGCACTTTCTCTCCTGTACGTGAACCAAACTGGACTCCACTTAGCAGAACCTCAGCCATCTTCCTGGAGAGTCTATTGTTATCCCCTGGGGCCCTGGTGGGGGTCCAGTATACCTTGACATCTGAGAAGCAGTAAGGATAAAACAGTGTGGTATAGCGGTTAAAAAAACAGTCTGTTGGCCCAAACATAGTGGCTCACACCTGTAATCCCAGCACTTTGGGAGGCTGAGGCAGGCAGATCACCTGAGGTCAGGAGTTCAAGACCAGCCTGGTCAAGATGGCAAAACTCCATCTATTAAAAATACAAAAATTAGCTGGGCGTGGTGGTGGGCGCCTGTAATCCCAGCTACTCGGGAGGCTGAGGCAGGAGAATTGCTTGAACCTGGGAGTTAGAGGTTGCAGCCTGGGCAACAAGAGTGAAATTCCGTTTCAAAAAAAAAAAAGTCTGAAATCAGAGAGGTCTGGGTCTGAGGCACAACATCTCAACCTATTTTTTGGAGCTGTGCAAGCTCAAAAAAATAGCTTACTCTTTCTGAGCCTCAATTTTCCCATCTTTAAAAAAAAGGAAAAAATGTTACCTGGCTCATCAGGTTATGGGAATTAATGACTTTATTTTTTCAATAATATTTATTGAGGGCCTTCTATGGCCCAGATACTGTTCTAGGCACTGGGGCTGAACCCATTAACAAAACACACAGAAATCCTTAGACAGCTTGTATTCTAGCTGGGGAAACCAGACCACAAACAAATAAGTAAAACATATCTAAGGTTACTTGGTGACAAGGGCTATGGGAAAAAATAAAACAGGGAAGGCATGGATAGGGAGTACTGGATTTAAGCAGGGAGGTGTTGTGATTTTGAACAGGGTGGTTAGCAGAGGTCTCACTGAGAAGGTGGCAATTGAGCAGAGGTGTAAAGGAGGTGAAGGGATGAACTGTGTGGATGATAGTTGAGGGAAGAACATACCAGGCAAAGGCAACAACGTATGCCACACCCTTAAGTAAGGGATATGCCTGAGTAACAGCAAGGAGAGCAGAGAGCAGAGGAGTAGGGTAGGCCGGAGCATGTAAGGTCTTATAGACGATGAGAGGAACTTCAGATTTTATTTTCAATACAATGGAGAACCACTGGCAGGGTTTGAGCAAAGGGATGGCATGATCTGCCTTATGTTTCAACTGAGTCAGGGTGTTGAGAAGAGACTACTGGGGAGCAAGAGTGGGAACAGGGAGGCGTGTTTGGAGGTAAATTGCAATAATCCAGGTGAGGGATTGTAGTGGCCCAGACTGGGGGGCTGGTAGCAGTGGAAATGGTGAGAATATACAGAGAGGAAAATGAGATATGCACAAAAAGCAAGGAGCATAATATCTGGCACATAGTAGGAGCTCAGTAAATGTTAACTGTGATCAAAGTTGTTGCTATTATAATCATTGGCATACAGCTATACCTGCAGGCAGAGGATTCTTGTACCCAGCAAAACTGAAGTGAGTAGGTTGACCATGTAACCTGAGCCATTGCTGGAAGATCCAAAAGATGAAGACACAGGCAGAAAGAGGCATGAGTTTCCAGAGTTCCTCATGAGAGACAGAGAGAAATGGACAGTACCATTCCCCACAGTCCTACAGGACCGAGAAGCCTCACCTTCTAGGGGAAGGGCTTTGAGCCCTAAGAGGAAAAGGAGTCTGCTTCATATCCATAAGAGTAATCCAGCTGCCTGCAGCTGATGGGTAGGAATGGTAGTCTGTTCAGCGAGAAGATTGTCAGGGTGGCCAAGGCCAAGTATTCCTGTTCATGTCCTTGCCACATCTCTGGTATGTTGGGATATTGGTGACAACCTCTTCTTGCCTTGCCCAAACATCAGGGAGAGAAGCGTGTTAATTAGAAGTGTTTTCCCCACCCTCAGAGGCTGTTAAGAGCTGGCAATGAAATTCAGACATCCCCTTTTGGGCTTGACCACCTCTTTGGGAGGATAGAGCAAGGGAGTAGCTAGGGCCCTGAAGAGCATTAGTGGCCAGCTTTTTTTCTCTTTCTCTTCTCCTTTACCAGCCTCTGTCCAGGTTCCCTGGGAAAGAGCAATTTCACCCAATAAAGTTCCCTACTACATCAAGTGAGTGACCACCTGAATCAGAAGCGGGTCAGTTACCTGCCCACTCCCTCCCTCTCCTGTCTTTTTGCTACCTGTCCTTGTCACTCTGTTGGGATTCCTCCATCCAGTTCGGTTTTTCTCCTACTCATCTCAAGATCTCAAGATTCTACCTGGGTAAAGGTGAACCCTTGGGCTTTGGCATCTTGAGTTTACCCTTGAATCCTGCAGCTTTTTGCATCCAACCTGTCACTGAGTGGTGTGCACACCTATGTGTGAGGGTGGGTGGGTGGTATAGATGCTGGTGCTATTGATGCTTTTGTTTGTAGCCACCAGGCTCAGACCACATGCTGGGACCATCCCAAGATGACAGAGTTATACCAAACCCTAGGTAAGAATGTGAGCTTCCTGTGTAGGGCGGGCATATACACAGCTGCCTTTGTCCTATGATGTCCATCTACAGATGAATGGTTAAAGAAAATGTGGCATATCCATGTAATGGAATATTATTCAGCCTTTAGAAAGAAGGAAATACTGCTATTTGAAGCAACATGGATGAATCTGGAGGACACTGTGCTAAGTGAAATAAGCCAGACACAAAAGGCAAATACTACATGATCTCATGTATACAAGGAATCTAAAATAGTCAAACTCATAGAAGCAGAGAGTAAAATGGTGGCTGCCAGTGGCTGAGGGGGAGGGGAATATGGGGACATATTGGTCAAGAGTACAAAGAAGTTTCAATTATGCAAGATGGATAAGTCCTAGAGACCTACTGTGCAGCGTAGTACCTACACTGAACAATACTGGATTGCATCCTTAAAAACTGCTAAGAAGGTAGATCTTATGTTAAGTGTTCGTATAGAAAAAATAATAAAGAAGGTAGCTGGAACTTTTTGGAAGTGATGGATGTACTAATGGCATAGATTGTGGTAGTGAATTCATAGATGTATACTTGTCTCCAAACTCATCAACTTGTAAACATTGAATCTGTACAGCTTTTTGTATGTCAACTATACCTCAATAAAGTAGTTTAGAAAAGAATAGAAGAGAATCACAGTCAATAAGCAGGTGGGAGAGGGAATGAGTGCCTCATCATTTCTCCAACAGCCTTCCTTCCTTTACCCTCTGTACCTTTCTCAACTGGAGGCTCTACATTCCCCCCTGGACCATGTTATCAATGCATTAATGAATTATTCTTACAGATGCTTTGAAAGACTGTCCAGGCTGTGATGAGTGACTCTTGCATGCCTTATCTTTGTCTAACAGGAACTCATCTTTATGTTGCACATTTTATCCATGCTGATGCATGTTACTACAGTTCATTCTTTTTCACTACTGTAGAATATTCCATTGTATATAGCACAGTTTCTTTATCCATTCTGCTGTTGACAGACACGTGGGTCGTTTCTTGTTTGAACCTAATAAGGGTGATACTGCTGAGGAGGTTCTAATATGTGTTTTCCAGTGCATGTGTGCAAGGATTTCTCTGGGGCATGTTTTTCAATCTGCAGGTCATAACATCATTTTGGTGTATTGTGATAAACATTTTAAAAAATTGAAATAAACCAGGAAATATTAACAGGCAACAGATCTTTAGCAAGAGTCATAGTTGATATTAATTTTGTTGTTTTCACTCTATCCATTCTAGTAAGGAATTGCTTCCTGAAATGTTTGTTTTAGTTATTTTTACATATATACATGTATGCTATAAAATGAATTTGATACTCTAAGTCTTGATCAAAAAGCATTTGCAAGTCACTGCTCTGGGATATATAGCTGGCTGGGTGGTAGGATATATGACTGTTCCATTTTACTAGGTAATACCAAGTTGTTTTCCAAGATGATTGTATCAGTTCACACTTTCACTGGCAGTTCTCATTCATCCACATTCTTGTTACACTTGCTATTGTCAGACTTCTATTCGTTGCTAGTCTGGTGGGTGTAGAATGGTATCTTATTGTGGCTTTAACTTGAAATTTTCTGATCTGAGTGGGTCTCTCTCCATTCTTTGCAGCCGATCTGAACAACATTAAGTTCTCAGCTTATCGCACTGCCATGAAGCTCCGCAGAGTCCAGAAAGCCCTGCGCTGTACGTCTCCTGTTGCACTTCCGTATGGCGTTCACCACCCCTCTCTTGTTCCTCATTTGTCTGCTGTTTCTCATTTTCATCCCACCTTGGTCAGGGTTGTTGATTGGCTTGATGAAAACTCTCCAAAGCTTGCAATATGCTAGCTGTCAACTGCTCTTCCTAATTCCCTTCTACTCTCGCTAAATTCCAGACGTGTTTCCAAATTAACCCCACTGTTAACCTCCTCCTTTACCCTTTTCCCATGTTCAGTATACATAACCAAGCAATTACTTTGTGACAGGAAGTACCCCAACCCATGATTTGCCATCTTGGGGTTATTGGATGTAGCAGCAAAACTGTTGAAGCAAGTATCAGTGGTTAGGGAACAGTGTGGCTGCAGATATAATATGCCTTCTGGCCTTTCTCAGAGACACCGTTCATTCAAGCTTCCTGGCTTAGACATGTCTAGGTAGGCTGAGCCAGCATTTGGGGGTAATTAAGGTGTCCTCTTGATGTATGTCACATTTCCTCAGCCATACCTGAGCCTTCATTGCTGGTGTCTAGCTTCTCAGAACAAAATTCATAGACAAACGTATTTGCAGTTGAAACTCATGTAAAGGCAGAGAAACTTAATATGAGATTTGAACCCTTGGGAGTTAGTACAACATAGGAGATGAGTTTGCTCATGTCCCACCATCTTTTTGAAACTGATGTCAAAGAACATTGGGTATAAAAACATGTTGGGTTAATTTGAGGGACATTTTGCTGCCCTCTCCCTCCTTGGATGAGGGTCTTAGTAAAGGACAAGCTTGTATCATATTTGCAAATGGTTGATCTGGAGATTGAATCAAATTTGGTGATGCTGGTGGCTTTATCTCTCTATTTAATCCCTGGGGTTGTACTTTTGGCTATATTTTTTTCCCTTCTTTCCTTCCCAGTGGACCTAGTAACTTTAACCACAGCCCTGGAAATCTTCAGTGAGCATGATCTGCAGGCCAGTGAGCACGTGATGGATGTGGTGGAGGTCATTCACTGCCTGACTGCTTTATATGAGCGGCTGGAGGAAGAAAGAGGCATCCTGGTTAATGTGCCACTCTGTGTGGATATGAGCCTCAATTGGCTCCTCAATGTTTTTGATAGGTAAGGGCTTTCATCTCTGGAAGCCTCTAGGATAAAATTCAATGAGATACCTCAAGTGGGCCTGGTGGAAAGGTGTTGCTTCCATAGTAGACTTGGACCCAGCTCAACTTGGGGCATTTTTGGAACAGGGCCCTGCTGGGATCAACTTTGTGAGGGAAATGATTGTCAAGATGTTAACCCTTTACATACATTCATGTTCTTACTCTCTTCTTTTAAACCTAGTGGTCGCAGCGGAAAGATGCGGGCATTGTCTTTTAAGACTGGCATTGCATGCTTGTGTGGCACAGAAGTGAAGGAAAAACTTCAGTGTGAGTATAACTCCAAAGTGTGGCATGGTGTTGGGTGGAGGGAGAGGTGTTGCAGGGAGGAGGAAGGGTGTAAGATAAGCAGATGGTACATCTTATGACTTAGCAGAGGGCTACTTGGGCTACCTTATGATGCTTCTTGGTTCATGCTATTGCAAAGAATATATGACAGTCAAAGGACAAAAGGGCCTAAGGCCTATTACTATTCCCAGTATTACTCCAGTGGGCTTCGTTCCTTCTGATATCATGGAAGTACTTAGTCAGGATCTATGTTAGCATCTTGAGGTACCCAGGGCCCTGATGTTCCAGTTTCATTTCCCTGTGGCCTATCAGGCTCAGCCCTCTTCCAGTCTGAAGATCAAGCCATGTTACTAGCAACTTCTTCTATACATGGGCAGGACACAGTAATCCCCATTATCTGGGAAGTGGACACTACATTTGTCTGTAGTTTTTCGCCTCTCTGGCTTATAGTACTTTTGCTTTCCGCTCTATCCTCCATCTTATGTTCAGCATTTTGAACTTTTTAGAAGCAGCATGATTCGTTTTTGTGTCTTAATGTGTGTTGACCACTCTGCTAAATGGGGTGAGTACTAAGTTAAATTAGACATGGTCCCTGCTTCCAAAGGTTTACAGTTCAGAGGAGGAGATGGAAGTATACAGAAAGCATTTTTTAGAAAGCACTGATGAGAATAATCCAAATGGCCAAGAATATATCCTATATCAGATCACAGAAGAGGGACAGATGACAGCAGTGTGGAAAAACTTTACAGGGAAGATAACTTTTCCAAACATGTTTGTGGCTATGATACTATGTATTTCTCTCAACATGTCTTTGCGATGGGATGAATAGTAATTATTTATCATCAATTTAAAAGTAAGGAAACTGGGCTGGGCATGGTGGCTCGTGCCTGTAATCCCAGCACTTTGGAAAGCTGAGGTGGGAGGATCGCTTGAGCCCAGAAGTTCAAGAGCAGCTTAGACAACACAGTGAGACTTCATCTCTAGTTTTAAAAAGTAAGGAAACTGCAGCATAGAGAGCTTCATGACTTACCCATGATTCTACAACTAGTCAGTAATGGACCCAGAACTCGAACCTAGGCTCTCTGCCTTCTATTTCTGTGTATTTTCTAGGCCTTAGGCAACATATGAAGCAGACAGAGAATAACGTCTTGAGGAGGTTTGCTAAGGCTGGATTGGGATGTGGAAGGGAACGGTCCTAGAAGGGCTTAAAAAACCCATATACAAAGATAAGGATCATAGTATATTGCACAACCACTTAGAGATAATTTTTAGATGATCAGATGTTTTGAATTAGCTTCCCTTTTTGGATTATACATGCCCAATGTTTCCTTCCATTTGTGTGGACAATTGAGAGATTACTGCAGTGTCAGACCACATAAACAGGAGAGGTTATGACAACCTGACTGTGACTCATGTTCAGGTGCCCCTGAGCCCGTACCCTCATCCTGCTTCTGGAAGAATTTGTTTTCCAAACAGTATCATATCTGTGTCTGGCACTGCTTTTAACACACAGTGCACTTGAAATATCTCTCTTTCTTTCTTTTTCTCTCTCTCTCACTCTCTCTCTCACTCACTCTTTCTCCCCCACCCCCGATATTCTCTCTTTGTGTCTGCCTGGTTTTTCTCTCTGAACTCAGAGAATGCTCTTTTTAGAACTCGGGCTTCTAGAAGGTCAGGGATAGAACTCTATGTAGTCCAGTTTCAAAAGTCATTAGCTCAGGCTGTGCTCTTTCCCTGTTTTTCTTTTCTGCCCTTTCTCCTCACACCATTCTCCGGCCATTCCTGTGTCGGGGTTGGCTATTCTTGACGGTGGGGCCAGCAGACCTCTTCAGCCAAGTGGCCAACTCAGGCAGCCAGTGTGACCAGCGCCATCTCGGTGTCTTGCTTCATGAGGCCATTCAGGTGCCCCGTCAGCTGGGTGAAGTGGCAGCCTTTGGGGGCAGCAACGTGGAGCCCAGTGTCCGTAGTTGCTTCCGTTTTGTGAGTATGGAACTGGGGAGTGGAGGAGGGACGGGAGATTGCAGGTAGGGTGGGAAGAAGGGAAGGAGGACTACGAGCTAGGCTTTTGATCTGAAGTATAAAGATGCAAGGGATTTTGTTGGGATGGGACAATGGGGCAGAGAGTTTTCTGGGCTCTAGAATCTCAGTCCTGTTGGGGAGTGTGCCAGCTCAACTAGCACAGGGCAGAAGGTGAATATCTCTGGAGAACAAGTCAACCCAGCCCCTGCTGGTTCTGCTGCTCCTCTGAGGACTGCCATTCTAGGGATAAGACACTTTGGGCCTCAGTCATTCCCGTTGGTCTTCTTGTTTCCATAGAGCACTGGGAAGCCAGTCATTGAAGCATCCCAGTTCCTGGAGTGGGTCAACTTGGAGCCCCAGTCTATGGTGTGGCTGGCTGTTCTGCATCGGGTCACCATTGCTGAGCAAGTGAAGCATCAGACCAAGTGCTCTATCTGTAGGCAGTGCCCCATCAAGGGGTTCAGGTAGGGAAAACAATACCTGCTGGGATGATAATAATAAATATGTCCTGTGACATATAATTCAGATATTATAAAATAAAGTATTACCTAATTATTATATCATTACAGCTAGTCTATTGTATATTATTATATACTGTTGTAATCCTTTCTATTGCAGAATGTGTAATTATTTTTAAATGGGAAGTGAGGAAATATTTTGTTTTAGTTGTATTATAAAGTACTACAGACCTACAAAAATATATAGAAGATACTGTAAGAACACCTATGTACTAATAGTATGCCAGCAAATGTTTCACAACCTACTCTCTAAAAAGAAAAAAAGGAAACCTGATCTGTAGCGTTTGCTAGTTTCTGTGATGTATGTACTCCCACTGTGAATGATATCAGGCTATTTACAGGAGATCTCTGAGCAGAGTCAGAAAGAGATACTCAGCTGTACACCATTTATATAGTATGTCCACCATGTAGATACAATAGATGTAAGTAACCTCAAGATCATAAAGAATAGCAAAGTAATTAGGAAGTAATGAGTTTTGAGAATTTATTACCTTTTTTGTAATATAATTTATTTAATTGTGAGTTTATATAATTTAATTTTTAATAATGGCTAGATTTAACAACTGACCTAGAAAACCCCTGAAATTTTAACAGCCAGCTGTTGTGAGCTGGTATGAGCTGGCTTCAGCACACCACAGTTTATACCCATGACCAACTTAAGGAATAAAACATTACTGCAATATATTTGAGGTCTCCTTGATTATAGTCCCCTCCTTCCCCCACAAAGGTAACCACTATCCTGGATTTTTGTTTGTTTGTTTTTTTGAGACAGAGTTTCGCTCTTGTTGCCCAGGCTGGAGTGCAATGGTGTGATCTTGGCTCACCACAACCTCTGCCTCGCAGGTTCAAGCAATTCTCCTGCCTCAGCCTCCCAAGTAGCTGGGATTACAGGCATGTGACACCATGCCCAGATAATTTTGTACTTTTAGTAAAGACAGGGTTTCTCTATGTTGGTCAGGCTAGTCTCGAACTCCCGACCTCAGGTGATCCACCCGCCTCAGTCTCCCAAAGTGCTGGGATTACAGGCGTGAGCCACTGCACCCAGCCACTATCCTGGATTTGACTTTCATCATAAAACACTCAACTTTTTACCTTTGCAAAGCACTATTGCACAACTCTCCCTATAATCACCCTGCTTTTCATAAGATGAGCAAATGAGGCACACAGCTAGTTAGTGGTAGATCTAGACTAGATATTATATCGTATGACTCCTCTAAGTCTAGGCATTTCACTGTCCTGCACTACAAGATCTGGGCAATTCAGCCAGGCTTTGGAAGTAGATCTGAAGGGCTATTCTTTATTCTGCAATAATAGGTATATTATTATGAACAACCTTTGGAAAAATAACCTTTAGCCAACTTAGCCAAGACTGGTTAATTTCCTTCATACTGGAAGTGTAATTTCTCCAGGGTAGGCGATGGTCCCTGGGATCCCAGACCTGTTTGGGCCATCGTTGTTTAGAAGGCCATTTGATATAATGAGATATTTGACCCCACTTCCCTCCTGTCTCCGTTAAGCAAAGGTGGTGAGACAATGCTGTTTCCCACACTTCCTGGGAATCTGGCCTTGTGATTTCATAGAGATTTATGGTCTCTAGAATAAAGTTGTTCATCTGTTGAGAACTCAGCCACTGCTGTGTATACGAGGTTGGGCATGTTATGGCTCCATGCCTCATCCCCTTCTAGTGTGTGTGTATTTTGATGTTAGGGGGACAGCAGAGAGGTCACTGTGGTACATTGGATTCTCTTTCCTACTACATCTCTTCTCTCCCAAGATACCGGAGTCTGAAACAGTTCAACGTCGACATCTGCCAGACCTGCTTCTTGACAGGCAGGGCCAGCAAAGGCAATAAGCTGCACTACCCCATCATGGAGTATTATACGCCGGTATGAAGCCTCCAGGCTGGGTGGGAGGGGTAGGCAGCTCTCAGGCACTGGGTGTTGATCCACTTTGCCCAGCATTGGCTCATTGTTTTCTGCTCACCCGTGAAGAGCATTCTCCAAGGAGCTCTAGTGATTCACCGGTTTGGGGGAATCAGACCTCTCTATTCTTCCAGCAGAGCTTCTCCCTCACTGGGCCTGGGCACAGCTGGCCCAGGACACTCTCAGCCATTTAAAGGACACTCACTGTTTTACTGCAGAGAAAAGTCTCATGAAAAAAGTAATAAATAAAAACAGAGAGAGCAAGGCAGTTCCAGCTGATTTGCCTTCCATCGGTCACTTGAGTTTTTCCTGGCTAATTTCCTATATTGCCACTGTACTGGGTCACTCAGTCTTTCCCTGATGCTTTGTCATTATTTCTACCCCTGCTTGTCAATACCAAAGCTTATGCTTAAATTAATTACTCAGTCCGTTGGAGGGAAAAAAGAAATGTATGTCCTTTACCTGGACCCCCAAACTGCAGTTGGTTTTCCCTGGTAACTCTGTCCTCCATAGCTGCTTTAGCCAGGTCAGTCAGCATCCCTGCACTCCAGCCACAGAGTTGCTCCTGTGCTGTGCTTAAGACCCACAGCTCCAGGCTTAGCTTCCAGCATTGACTCTGCTCCCTACTCATCTTTATCCTTTTCTGTCCCCGCGGTTTCTCTCAAAGCCCTGATCATATCCCCGGCTCCCACCACTGCTCTCTCTCCCCCATTCTCTCTCCTATTTTCAATCTGTTTCCCCACAATCCATCTGTCCAAGCTTTCATCTCTTCAAACCCTGTTGGCACAGAAACGTGAGGCCCAGTGGGAACAAGGACCATGCCCTTTACTTTTCATTTATTATCATCTTAAAAGAAAACATTAGAAAAGTCATACAGAGAAAACTGGCTGGATCTGGTAGACTGAGAATCCTCTGCCACCTGTTCGTCCTCTACATCCTTAGAATTTATAGAACAGCTATTTTAAAAATTAACAAACATATGCTCATTATAAAATATTCAAATTATATGAAAGTGTTTAAAGTATAAGACAAAGGCTGGGTGCCGTGGCTCACACCTGTAATCCCAACACTTTGAGAGGCTAAGGTAGGGGGATTTCTTGAGCCCAGGAGTTCAAGACTGGCCTTAGTAACACAGTGAGACCCTTGTCTCTACAATTTTATTTATTTATTTATTTTTGCTTTTAGAGGAACTGAAGCAATTTAAAAATATTTTTAAAGTGTAAAATGAAAGTCCTCCTCTCTCCTCACCCTGGCCCTCACATTTCCAGTTCAACTTCCCAGAGGCGACCAGTGTTCAGAGTTTGGCATATATCCTCCCAGACCTTCTTCTAGGAGCAGGATGTTGTGGGATGAGCAAGAGTAGATTACTTAGCATGCTGTCTTCTCTAGAAGAGCAGCCACACCTGCCCAGTATATCTGGAAGCATTAGGGTAAATTCCTCTGCCCTGTCTCCTCCTCAGACCACATCTAGTGAGAACATGAGGGACTTTGCCACAACGTTAAAGAACAAATTTCGCTCCAAGCATTATTTCAGCAAACACCCTCAGCGAGGTTATCTGCCTGTACAATCAGTGTTGGAGGCTGACTACAGCGAGACGTGAGTACCAGTGGCTGAGCAGCGGCTGCAGGCAGCCTAGCTGAGCCTGAACATATGCTGTGAAGGGGCTGAGTCCCAGATGGGCTAGGAGAAGGTTCCAGGGTAAATTCCACTAGTGGTAAGGCAGTTCAGCTTGGGCCTGACCTGGACTCTGGCCTGAGAAGTAAACTGGAATCCATTCTTTGTATTTTGTTCCCATCAGCTTGTGCCCATGTCAATAATGTAGGGAGCAGGAGAGGGAGGAGGAAACGGGCTGCCCAGTCTGTGGTCCTCTGAGTCTTTGCTGCTTTCTTCTAGGCCGGCTTCTTCCCCAATGTTGCCACACGCTGACACACACTCCCGAATTGAGCATTTTGCCAGCAGGTACCACCAGGTTTGCGGGAGGTGGGTGAGGGCTATTGTAGGAAGTCCGAGGGGAAAAGATCTTCAGTAGGGGCAAGGAGAATGGAGTCAGGGCCAGGGGATGTGCATAGTGGGGTATGCAGCAGCCAGCAAGGCCCCATACTTAGGGGTAGTCAGGGTAGCTCTCAAAGCCAATGATCCTATTGTGAGATTAGAGTCCTTGAAATGGAAGCAGGCCCCACATCCTTTTTCTCTCCTTGCCTCTGCTCTTTCTTTCTAGGCTTGCTGAGATGGAAAGTCAAAATTGCTCCTTCTTTAATGACAGCCTGTCCCCAGATGACAGCATGTGAGTTTCCACAGCTGCTTATTTGCCAGAAATAGCTCTCCTTGAGATCTGTGTGCCACTGTTTGGGAAGGGTATATCCTCCAGGGAATGGGGGTGTGTGGTGGTTAGAATCTTTAGCTCCCTAAGGAAGGAAGGCTGCTTTCTGGTGTTCAGTGAGAAATGCAGTCTTCCCTCTATCAATTGACCTAGGAAATGAGGGATGTACTAGCTCCATGCCATCTTTCCAAGTCCCTTCCTGTTGCAAGATCCTATTCTTCTATACACAACTCTGAGCAATGAAGAATATGCCATCCCTCATCTGAAGTTGCAGAAAGGGGCCATTATCTTGTGCTCAAGATGCCAAAGCCCTATCTAGTGCTACAATAACCCTGGGAGGCATCAGGGACTTAGCTGAAGTATAGCCAAGGGAACTCCCTGGTGTGACTGCCCAGAGAAGGGGCTTTGTATCTCTAGGGAGGTCCCCATCCTGCTCAGAGGTCCTAGGAGCTGCTGGCTACATGGATCAATCTGCCTGGACTGGGACTCAGATCCCTCTAGAGGAAGAGGAAACAAAGGAGGGCAGAGTAGGGGAATAGCACAGAAAGGGAAATGATTTGATCATTGTTTCCTGGGGGGCTATAAGTAGAACCCAGAAACCCACATCCTGAAAACACTCTCTCAGTACCCCCAACCACAGCCTCTGCCTCCTTTGAATACTTTCATCCCACTCAAGCCTCAATATATGTCCTTTCCCTCTTGATGTGACTTAGAAGTGAATCTTCCAGCATGCATTTCCTGGGGCCTGAGCCTAGAGCTGAGAACTTATGCCCTGAGCTGTTTGTCTGTTCAGCAACTGGCTGCCTACTCTGCTTTCCCCACACCCATGCAGAGACGAGGACCAGTACCTGCTGCGGCACTCCAGCCCCATCACAGACCGGGAGCCAGCCTTTGGACAGCAGGCTCCATGCAGCGTGGCCACAGAAAGCAAGGGGGAGCTGGAAAAGATCCTGGCCCACTTGGAAGATGAGAATCGGTGGGTATGATGATAGCAGAAATCTGTGTGGGTTCTTGAGGCAGACAGATTGAATTTAAGTCTTGGAACTTCTACATCCTAGCTGTCTGACCTTGAACAAGTTACTTAAATTCTTTAATCATCTATTTCCTCATCTGTAAAATGGGGATGATGATCATCAAACCTGCCTCCTAGAGTCACTTGTGAAGACCAAATGAGATCAGGCATATAATGAGTTTGACTCAGTGCCTGGCTTATATTATAGTAAGGATTCAATAAACACTAGCTATTATAATTATTTGAATCCTTTTAATTTTTTTCTTTTGAGACAGAGTCTCAATCTGTTCCCTAGGCTGGAGTGCAGTGGCATGATCTTGGCCTACTATAATACTCCGGCTCCTGGGATCAAACAATTGTCATGCCTCAGCCTCCTGAGTAGCTGGGACTACAGGCATGCGCCACCATGCCTGCCTAATGTTTTTTGGTATTTTTAGTAGAGACGGGGTTTCACCATGTTGGCCAGGCTGGTCTCGAACTCCTGACCGCAAGTGATCCACCTGCCTTGGCCTCCCAAAGTGCTGGGATTATAGGCATGAGCCACCGCGCCTGGCCTGAATCCAAAATTTAACCTGATTTTTTTCCAAGCACACAAGAGATGCAAGCAGAGAGAACGCATAGAGAAAACAGGAAAGAGTATGACATTTTCATGCCCTCAGAGACCTTTCAGTGTTAGAAGTGGTAATAAATATGCATCATCTAGTAAAAGTATTCCAGAGGTTGCTGACACTACATAGAGCATTTGAGGTCTGGAAGAGGGAAGGTAAAGAATATTACAGGGAAGACATGACTTTCCATAAAGTAGAGGTGGCAGCAGGAACCTAAGGAGGGTCCAAGCTACTTGTGGGGCATAAAGTAGAATTCATAGTACACCTTAGAGCAGTGATTCGCAAACATTAGTGTATAAGATAATCACTTGGGAAGCTCAGTAAAATACAAATTTTAAGTCACAGGTCTGGGTGAGGCCTGAGTTTCTGCATTTCTAACCAGCTCCCAGCAGATGCTCATGCTGCTGTTCCGCAGACCACACCTGGAGTAGCAAGTCTTTAGAACAGTGCTACTCAGAGTGTGAAGTGCAGACATGAGCCAGTTTGTGACTAGTTCGTCACCAGTCCAAGGCAAGATAAATAAAACAAACAGAGAATAAGCTTTTAGAAACTTTTACAGCAATTTGAATTGCTATGATATTCAAGTACAGAATTACTGGGCTCATCTCATTGAATAGGGTAGAGACCAGTTTGAGTGTCGCTGAACTTGTGTGATGAGTTGCACGTAGTGTGAGCTATGTACTAGTCATATGCATCGGGGCCACATATTGGTCCACAGTAGAGTGAAAAAAAAAACACCTGGATTTTTACCATGAATCATTCGAGAAACACTGCCTTTGAGCAGCAGCCTGCAGACCCTAGGAAACACTGGACAGAGAGTGACTGTTGTGTTGCAAATAAAGAAAAAACAAACAAAGCCAAAAGTGATGTCCCCAACAGCAGGCCACCTGTTTGGAACTTGTCTTTTTGATGACCCACGATGGGTGTTCAAAGTGGGCCAAAGAGGAGGGTTGTAGAGAGAGGAGGCAAGACAGGTGGTCTCTTGTTTATGTTACCTTTTCCCTTGGAATCTAAAACATCTAAAAATGGAGTAGGTGAATCAGTGACCCTAATGCCACATTTATTTGCAGACTGTGTTTCTGCCTGATTTTAAGGTCAGACTTAATCCCTAAAGCAGCACATCAAAGCCCTGAGACATTTATTAGGCAAAATGTCAACTTTCTCTGCTCTGAGGTCTCAGAATGGCAGAGTAAATGACTTATGCGCTGGAGAGGAAGTGGATGTGGCCATTGAAGCAAGAGCACAGCTGGGGCGGGGTTGGGGGCAGGGGTGGGACTGAAGTGGGGTGAGAGCACAGGGATTGCTCACACCTAGGCCTGAGGGGACATCTGAAACCTGGACAGTCAGAGCCCTGTTAGAGCTATAGGCCTTGGTGTCTCTCTCCATGGCAGGATTCTCCAGGGAGAGCTGAGGCGCCTGAAATGGCAGCATGAGGAGGCTGCTGAGGCACCCACTCTGGCTGAGGGCTCCGCTGAGGCAGCACCAGACCACCACAATGAGGAGCTTCTGGCTGAGGCCCGGATCCTTCGGCAACACAAGAGCCACCTGGAGACCCGGATGCAGATCCTCGAAGACCACAACAAGCAGCTAGAGTCCCAGCTGCAGCGCCTGAGGGAGCTGCTCCTGCAGGTGAGGCTGGAGACAGTAAAAGAGCCACGTCAGCCTCTGAGTCCAGGGGAAGGCTGGGGAGCTGAGCGATGTGGCAAAAAAAACACAAGAGAGAGCTCCTTGGCAGTGGCTCTCAAGTAGCTTCCTGAAGAGAACTGGGCCTGAGGCTGGTGGGGGGCGGGGGAAAGAAGAGACTGGTATGGTCACATCTCCAGCCAACTCTCTTCCACCTACCTTCCATGCCACCCTGTGTGTCACTCTCCAGCCACTGCGGGGCCTGGGGCAGAGATAGGACTTCTGAGGGCTTATTTCTTCTCAACCTATTGGAAACCCATACTGAAAGAACAGACTTCAAAAATCATCTAAAACATTGATTTTGCTAGTACGGTATTTGCTAGAAAGAAGCAGGTTTGGACAAGTTTAGCAAGAGAAATATTTGCGCTACCAAAGGATGTTTCTTGCTTTTTGCACCTTTCATCTCTGAAAGGCAGTGTGTATGCTATGGTATAGCTCTGGAGTCAGGCAGCTCTGGGTTTGCATGTGGCTCTGCCAATTGACTATGGGGTGTTTGGACAGTTACTGAACCTCTCCAAGCCCCAGTTTCCTCATCTGTACAATGGGGATGGTACCAACTTCATAGAATTGTGGTGAACATAAAAGGAAATAATTCATTTATAGAATTTAACGTGATGCCAAGAATCTAGTACACACTTCATAAATATTACCTATTATTGTCATTATATGTAATGGAAAATACCACTCTGCTGCCTCTTCCGCATATCCTCCAAGGGAGGGCCTCTATGGATTCCTGGAGGTTTCTAACATATGCTATGTCATGAACCAAGGATCAGGTGTGAAACTTTACATTTCCAGAGAGAATTGGGTTCCAAATAGCTTAATTATAGCTGAAATGACAGCAAGAGACCTTTAGGTATAATGCCTTTCTTGTAAGAACTGGGAGCATTTGACACATTGTTAAAAGAAGAACGCAATGGGTAATTGAATATTCTAAGAAGTTTCCCAAAAGTGGAAGCCAATGTTTTAGGTAATACTAAAAGCTTCTTAAAGTCTAAGGGCAAAGGGCTGGTATGAAGTCGCTCAGATCCCTTCTAAACTCAGGAGTCTGTCAAAGTAAGGTCAGGAAAGCAAAGCTGCTTAAGTCATGCCTTACCTTTTGCTAGCCACCCACCGAATCAGATGGCAGTGGCTCTGCAGGCTCGTCCCTAGCTTCCTCTCCACAGCAGTCAGAAGGCAGTCACCCCCGAGAGAAGGGACAGACTACTCCAGACACCGAGGCTGCAGGTGAGTTCCCCTGGCCCCTCCCAGCCCCTTTCTCCATGGCTTTGTCCTGCCCTCGATTTCCTGCCCAAGGCTTTGCGCGGCTGGGACTGGTTTCTCCTCTTGGCTTTGTGCTTAGGGTCAGGGATGACCAGTTTACTGATTGATTAATTAATCTGCTTATTCTACAAATAAATGTACGTTGAGCACAACCTATGTACTAGGCATTGTGCTGGGAAGATGCAAATGCTGTGGGCAGGTCTGCCCTTAAGCTGGCAGAATTCTATCCAGCCCCTTGGCCTCATAAAGGAGTCTTTAGTTCTCTTCTCAAATCTCTCTTTTTTAACCCAGATGATGTGGGGTCAAAGAGCCAGGATGTCAGCCTGTGCTTGGAGGACATCATGGAGAAGCTCCGTCATGCCTTCCCCAGTGTGCGAAGTTCTGATGTGACTGCCAACACCCTGCTGGCCTCTTGATGGAGCCAGATCCCCATCCTATAGTTCATAGTCCTTTCCTGGTTCCGGTCAAAGCCTTTCCTCAGCCTTCACCCAACCTTTCCAGTTTCCACTGGCGCCACATTCCTCAACTAGTATTATTTGGGCTCTGGGTGGCAGCGGGGACCTGGTGGTATGTGAGGTGGGTTCAGATAGTGATGTGGGAAGGGGAGGCATGAGTCCTCTGACTCTAGAAATGTTCCCTTTAATCTTCAAGTTTGAGGTCAGTCATTTACGTACCTTTCTGTTGCAGCCCAGGCAAATATCACTTGGTCATTAAGATGGGGAGCAAAGAAGCTGCCTTGCAGAGCTAAGCGGTACCCATTGGCCCCTCTCCCTTCTTCCTGGAATTATGGAGAGAGAGAAGCCTAATTATCCCAAGATTCCAGCATTATGAATCCACAGGAGTTACCCCTACTCTCTGGAGCAATTCATGGAGGCAAAAGGGTATCCCCAAGACACCTTCCGCACCCCAAGCACCCCTGAAAAAGTCTGGGCAGTGTGTGTTCTATTACTTCAGCTCCAGGACAGATCTCTAGCCATCCTAATGTTACCTAGGTATTGGTTTCTCTTCAAATATCATAATTTTCTTTAGTCTCAGTCCCTGACAGACCTTCTTTAAGGGGAGAACAGTTCATTCTGGTTCTTCCACATTATATTTGGAAGCATTATAGATATACTTGTGGGTTTAGATTTTTTTTTTTTTTTTTGCCCCACATCTTCCTATTTCTTAAAGGCCTCAGCATTTTGAGAGACCCACTGAGTTCCTCTGGAAACCCGGCTGAAGCCACCCTTTGCTCCTCTGAGTCTGTCCTCACAGACCTGGGGGCACAGTGGCAGCTTGCTCAGCAAGGGAACCTTGCTCTCCTTGGGTGAGGAAGAGGAAGCCCACCTCTAGTCTGGAGTCGTATGACTGCCGCCCAATACCCTTCCAGGCTGTGACCCTTCTAGCTCTCAGGCTGAATCAGATGAGGTGGCTGATTGCCACCAACTAATCATAAGGCATTTGCAACTGGTCACCCTGAGTAGTGGTCCCTCCATAGGAGCCACAGGCCACAAATCAGGAAGGTGGCCATTTTCCACCCAGACAACAGCAAGGCCTTCCTGTGCCTAAAATTGTTCTTTCTAACTCTGGAAGGTGAATTCAATCCTCAAACTGAACTAACTCTTCTTAGGCAGCATTTACCATGATCTCTTTATCCAGAAACTGTTCAGAATAGATAGTAGGGGTGGGGGAGTGGGCTTGGGAATGTTGAAGTGATTCAGAGCCTACTTAGGCAGCTTTCTACCAAGAGGAGCTTTATAACCTAGAGCCCTGTAGTTGACTTCATTTGCCTAAGTTTACATACATACATATCTATTCTACATATCTACTGTACATCAGTGCTCTCCTGGCCTCACTCACACATTAAATTCTAATACCTCTTGATGTATTAATGTTCTGCCTTGCTCTTTGTTAGCCCCAGCCTCTGGTTGGAAAGACAGATGTGTCCTGGCTGCTCCCCTAGGATATCTCTCTCCATTGATGTTTGGGGTGGGCTGCCTTCAAGACCAAAGCAACAGAAACCCATGGCCACAGAGAATCTAACAGGAAGAGTCACAGTTCTCTTCACTTATTCCAAATCTTGTTCTCTTGAGACCTGGGCCTTGAGTGAATTTTCCTGGTATCTCCTAAATGGTTCAGGTGCCAAAATAGAGCAAATCCAAGCTCTGCCCACCCCATGCAGAAAAGGACAAATAGGCCTTTTTGAACCTTTGCCAGCTAAGACATAGAGAACATTCTCTGGCCCCTTCCAATTCTTACAGTCTGACTCGGGGCTTAAGAAAGCAACAGTTGCTACCACAATTGGGAGGGAGTGACGGTTGGAGTGTTGTATTGTAATCCAGCAGTGGGCCAGTGGGTAGGACCACTAGGAACCTAGCTAGATCTGCCACAGGGGAGGCAGGGCAGTGGCTTGGGTCCAGAAGCTTAGGGTTGCCTCCTCTCCCACTAAGCCACAGGTTCAGGGTGTCAGACTTCACATCATAACATCTGCCTTAGTGTTCATGAGGTCTCTGGGCGGGATAACTGGGTATCTGGATAGATGGTGAGCAGGTGGTAGGTGGGCATCAATCACAGAACCTGGGCATCAGTCAGAGTGGGAGCATATTTGTAGGAGCCAAGATTGTGGGCAGGAATGTAGGACAGAGGGCTCAAGGACTTGGAGGCATATGCCTACCTAAGCTTTAGGAGGGCACATATTATGGAGCAATCTTTTACCAGGAAAGTCCTGGAAAATCCTTTCTGTTATCCCCACTCCACCTGAGAGCTCTTGGGCTGCTGAGGGCCTGTGGCAACTGCAGTGGGCCAGGCCTGGTAGAAAAGATGTAGATCTTGTTATGTAGGATTTGTGTTGTAGGTGGACCGAAGCAGCAGGTCAAGAGTTGAATTCTCACTAAGGGGTTGCTGACACTTTGTGGTCCTGTGTTTACCTTAATGCCTAAGGTGAGTGTATCGTTCAAGGGTCCAGGGACAGTCAATGCAGCATGTGTGGGGCGTTTTCCCACTATAAGGTAAATGGATCCTTGGGTACTATGAATCCAACTTGGGGTTGGATTTAGCAAAATGTGTTGTATGTTGTTAGACATCTGTTGTGTATTCGTCTCCTAAGGGTATTGTGCATGGCACTGTGTAGTTTATAGCCCTACACTGGAAGGATGGTAAAGGGAGTTTCTAGGTTGATAGCCTGAAGAAAACCTTCTGACTGTGGGATTAGCATCAGTGATAAGGAATGTGAGCATTTGCTGGGGTTGTTGTCAGATAGTATCAGAGAATAGTTAGGACAGAGAGGTGATTTCTTCTTGACAGAATGTGATAGAGGCCAAAAAGCCATTAAGAAGATACCTCTGCTTCCAGTGACAGCAGAGTGGATTCACATTGATTGGGCATTGTTATGGAAGGCTGACTAGCTGGAGGACATCAGGCTGTGCTATGCTTCTCTAGGGAGGACATGTACCCTTCCCTCCTGATTAGAAAGGTTAGAATCAAGATTCTCAAGTGCCCATTTTCTTCAAGGCCCAAAGTTGAGAAATATTTCCCTAAAGAGAAATTTGTTTTTCTGGTGCTCCAGGAAATGGGTCGGCAGGACACAGAAATGAGAAACTCTCAGGCCAGGAAGAGGCCAATCCTAGGAGATGTTTTGCCTTCAGATTCATTTTAAGGAATACCTGTGCTTCCTGAGGTGTGTGCTTAAGATTTGGGCTCCATAGCCAGCATTTGATCTCGCATTCTCAATGGCAGAGTCATGGCCTCTGGCACCATTTCAAGGGCAAGAATCTCATCCAATTTCCCTTCACATAGGTTACAGATAAGCAAGAAAGTAGCTGCCTTAATTTGAACAGTTCTGGGAGAAAAACTGGGGGCCTTGTCCTAGGGCTGTGGAGACTTAGTTATTCAGCTGGGTGACTCCCATGGGAACAAGGAACACTTTAGCTACTTCTTATTCTTTTAACACCAATGGCTGTGGGAGAGGGAAAGACTCAAGGCCAGGGCTTAGCTCCCAGAGTCCATCGCCTCCCACAGCTGCTGCATTTGGGAGGGGGCCTGCTGAATGTCCTTGCTGTCCACTGGGGCAGTAGTGAGGCCTTACCGAAGTCTGCTATACTGCTTGCTGGCTGTAAGAACTGGTCACAAGGATGAAAACTGGGGAAAGGATTTGGGGGAGGTGACAAGGATGGCATGGAAGTCTAGGGGACAAAGGGAACAGGGTTGGGAACAAATTGGTTAACTATCATTGCCACTCACTGTGGTGCTTTCCCCCTTTCCTTTGGATTCTGCTTTGAAAAGAATAAATTTGTACTTGTTTACTTCGGTTCCTCTGGTTATGCTCTCTGACTCTGATATTTCTTTTTTTTTTTTTTTTTTTTTTGAGACAGAGTTTCGCTCTTGTTACCCAGGCTGGAGTGCAATGGTGCAATCTCGGCTCACCGCAACCTCCGCCTCCTGGGTTCAGGCAATTCTGCCTCAGCCTCCTGAGTAGCTGGGACTACAGGCATGCACCACCATGCCCAGCTAATTTTTTTGTAGTTTATTAGTAGAGACAGGGTTTCACCATGTTGACCAGGATGGTCTCGATCTCTTGACCTCGTGATCCACCTGCCTCGGCCTCCCAAAGTGCTGGGATTACAGGCTTGAGCCACCGCGCCCGGCCTGACTCTGATATTTCATATCTTTCCCTTATTTAGGGGTGGGAAGAGAGGGTAGACCAAGAAGCCACAGAAGTACTATAAAACATAAGGCCACCAGATGAATTCAACACCTATGGGACACAAAAAGACTTTCCCATTGGGCCCATCTGCCACTGTTACCTGGATCAGTCACCTCTCAATGCCCCTCCAACCCTTCCCAAATTAGCTAGTTAGCCCCTTATGAGGTGAGCTGTATATAGCAATGGTTTCTACATTTCATCCTCCTCAATCTGAGGATTTTTCACCACCCCAAAGCATTTTAAGAAAAGTCAGGACAATGCATTGAGTTTTCATGAAGTTTTATATATTCAGTTTAAAGGTCTACCTTTTATTCTGAGATTATGGATGTGTGTGTGTGTGTACACACACACACATACACACATATATATATTTTGTCAATAAATAAAACCCTGTCAGTCCCTCTTTCCCACTCTATCACCCAGGCTAGAGTGCAGTTGCGCAATCTCGACTCACTGCAACCTCTGCCTCCCAGGTTCAAGCAATTCTCCTGCCTCAGCCTCTTACCAAACTATAACAACACTGCCCAGTATAAAATAATGCAAGCCACGTATTTAATTTTAAATTTTATAGCAGCCATATTACAAAAATAAAAATAGATTAATTTTAATAACCCAGTATATCCACAATATTACCCTTTCAACATGTAATCAGTATAAAACAATTATTAATGAGATTTAAAAATATATTTTTAACTAAGTTATGGAAATGTCAAGCAAGCTGACACATCCACTTGGGGAAAACAAAACAACAACGACAAACAAAAACAGGAAATCCAGATAGATCCAGACAGTTTATTCCTTATAGAGACAGCAAAAGCAAGATCAACAATGGTATCAGCTCTCTGCATCCCTTGACCCACAGAACAATATAACAGGACAACAAAAGGGGCCAGATGACAGGCAACATGAATGGTAGGACCCCCTGGTACTGTGTAGCCAATGACACTGCAGATAAGCAGTTTTATGGCCTGCAGCTGTACCCTCTGGTGTGGGAAGCAGGCAGAAAGCCTATACTTTATTGGAATGAGGGAGGCAGGTAACAAGCTGCCTCATGGCAACCTCCCTCAAGATAGGGAGATGACTGAGAAACGTTCTTGTAGCAAATTCTCACAAGACTGCCTGTCTTTCCGTGTTCCAGGAGGATCACAGGGTGTTCTGCCAGGACCTGAGTCAGCCTGCAGTTGACCCTGGCCTGTGTGGCCTATGTGGATAGTAATAAGGTCGTCAGGATGCAGGCATAGAGCAGTTCCTTTATAGAAATCCAGTGTTTATAGGCCGGGCACGGTGGCTCATACCTGTAATAGCAGCACTTTGGGAGGCTGAGGCAAGTGGATCACCGAGATCAGGAGTTCGAGACCAGCCTGACCAACATGGAGAAACTCCGTCTCTACTAAAACTACAAAAATTAGCTGAGTGCTGTGGCATGTGCCTGTAATCCCAGCTACTTGGGAGGCTGAGGCAGGAGAATCACTTGAACCTGGGTGGCAGAGGTTGCAGTGAGCCGAGATTGCACCACTGCACTCCAGCCTGGGCAACAGAGTGAGACTCCATCTCTAAATCAGTCAATCAATCAATCAATCCATCCAGTGTTTGTTTCACACTTATTGCACTTCTCAACTCAGGCTAGCCATGTGGTACTCAAAAAACACATGTGCCTAGTGGATACCATATTGGATAGCCAAAGTCTGTAGCATACAGAAGTCAGAATTACTGGGCTATTAGCAAAGGAAAACTTTCTGAGGTGTCAGAGTCAATGTGTACATGTGTATGCTGGGGTGGGGTGGAAAGTCAGAACGGCACTAGCCTTGGGTGACTGGAGGGCAGTGGTGAAGCAGCCCCCCTGGGTTACATTGAGAAGTGGCAGCAGAGGAGACGGAGGGGTATTGCAAACACACTAGCTTGCCCTTGCTCCTTCCTGTTGTGCTGTCTTCCTTACCGCCCTGCCTCTCAGCAGAGCTCTGGCAGTTCTCAGGCTGCAGTATCAGAGGCTGCACGAGGGCTCTTCTACCTCTCTCACTCCTGGATGCCTGCTGTGGCACATGTGCCACTCACTGGCCTGTCTCTCCAGCATGACCCCAGGGTACTTTCTATCAGTTCCCTGCCTGCCTTTATCTGGAAAGGCCTATCTTCTTTTCAAACTCTTCCTCTTCCCCCTTCTACCTCTGACACTCAACTCCTTTCACCCATTCT